TTATCTGAGATAAATTACTAACTATTTTCCTTTTCTGAACTCAGATGTTTTGTAACTTGGAAGGAAATGTAGCATCTATGATAAATTTCATTCAACTAAAATTTGTAGAAAGGTGCAAATTAAGTTAGGAAAGAAAAGGTACAGCAAGAAATCACATTTGTTGAGGAGGATGTTTAAATGCTGACTTTGAAATAACATGATTCACTTTGGAAATCTTAGTATGAAAGCTCTAAGTCTTGGATGAATAGTACATAAAAAGAATGAATCTTGGACAGGTGTTAATCTGGCTTTGACCTTAGAATTACATACAGCTATGGAACAGAGGTTATTGATGCCCATCCTAATCAGACATTTCAAACATAGGAATGTGAAAACTTAAATGCTTTGCTTCAGACTTACATAACTATATTATTATTATTAATAATAATAATAATAATAATTTATTTTCCCTATTTTCTTCCTAGTGTTTTGGTACTTAGAGTTGTGTGTATTGGGTTTCTGTGGCGAGGCTACAGGGTGGCTTCTATGAGAAGTTGCGAGAAGCTTCCCTTATGTCTGTAGAGCTAATGCCAGCAGCTCCAAGATGGACCTGCCACTGGCCAAGGCCAAGCCCATCAGCAACGGTGGTAGCACCTCTAGGATAACAGAGTTAAGAAGTGGAGGGAAAAGTGTGCAGGAGCAATTGCAGCTGGAGCAGAGATTGCTCTGTAGACCTTGATGAAGACCATGGTGTGGTGGGGTGTCCCCCTGAAGCCCATGGAGGTCTCTGGTGGAGCTGATATCTACCTGCAGCCCTTGGAGGACCCCATGCCAGAGCAGGGGGATGCCTGAAGAAGGCTGTGACACTGTGGGAATCCCATGCTGGAGCAGGCTCCTGCAGCACCTGTGGCTGTGCGGAGAGAGGATTCTGCGCTGGAACAGGTTTGCTCATAGGACTTGTGACCTCGCAGGGGACCCAGGCTGTAGCAGTCTGTTCCTGAAGGATTGCACCTCATGGGAGGGACCCACGCTGGAGCAAGTCATGGAGAACTGTCTCCTGTGGAATGGAGCCCCCACTGGAGCAGGGCGAGAATGTGAGGAGTCCTGCCCCCCCAAGGAGGAAGGAGTGGCAGAGACAACTTGTGATGAACTGACTTCAATTCCCTATTCCTCATCCACCTGCACCGCTGTGGGGGAGAAGGCAGAGAAAATCTGGAGTCAAGTTAAACCCAGGAAGAAAGGAAGGGTGAAGGGAAAATTTTTTTAAGATTGGTATTGATTTCTCATTATCCTGCTCTGATTTGATTGGTAATAAATTAAACTAGTTTCCCTAAGTCAAGTTTGGTTTGCCCATGATAGTAAACTGTTGAGTGATCTTCTCCCTGTCCTTATCTTGATCCATGAGCCTTTTGTTGTATTTCTCTTCTGTCTAGCTCAGGGCAGTGATAGAGTGGCCTTGGTGGGCACCTGGTGTCAAGCCAGGGTCAAGCTACCATGCTGTGGTTAAGACTGCCTTTCTGCTGGAAGTCATGAATTCAGGGTGAATGTGCAAATGCTGGACTGTTAGTTGTTTGGGTTTGGGTTTTTTTTTTTTTCAGAGAGGGGCTAGTCTTGCTAAGAGAGTATGCTGTCAGAGTTAAGTAAATGACACTAGGAAGTCCTCAAAAGTGTTACATGGTTCACATTTTATTTCTAGAATATGAATTTATCACAAAGAGCTAAATGGCAAATTGGCCATTTTTTTCTTCTGTAAGTAAGCATAGGGCTCTCTAGAGACTTTAAATCTGTTCTGTGGCAGGACTATGAAGAAGCTGCTGATGCCCAGGGTACACTAATTTGTTCAGCTGTATCACTGACTTTAGACAGGTGGCGTGTGAAATTCCTCATGTTCTTGTTGCCTGATAACCACCATTCCTCATTGCTTTGCCCAAGGGGTACATGAGATACCCTTTATGCTGGAAAGAAAGACTTCTGATGCAGGTATCATTTGGCCAGGGTGCTAACACCAGAGTCTTTATTAGCTAAGATGCAGTTCAATAGCTTCAGATTTTTCTTCAAAGGGAGACTGGTATTTTTTTCTTAGCCTTACATTAGATGCCCCATCCTTCTTTCAGTTGTGATTAAAAATTGTTGCTCTCCTCACGAATCGTCCACAGTGGAGTAAGCTTCTCAAAGTGGACAGGCTGAAATAGTGCTGAGTGCTTTTCAGGAGATCTTACAGGAACTGAGACAGGAAGTATGCAGATAGCTTGCTGCCAGCTCAGGTGGAGGTGAGAGTACCTGATCTGTGTTTTTTAACCTCCATGTTCAGTAACAATCTCAAGATCTTTCTGTTCTCTTTTAAAGTACATCATTCTTCTGAGAGGGTGACAGCTCACATCATCTTCTTTAGTAGATAGTATCACGTCCTGGGATTTGGCAGTTATGGACTTGGATCCCATGTAAAAGCTCTTTTCTGAGAATTGGATTTTCCATGAAATAGCTATAGCAAATGGATTTAGTGGGGAGCTAATGAAATGCAGAGTCCCAGGCACAGCTGGATTTTGAGTAGCACTTTTCTTGTTCTTAGCAAAATCCAATAGCAACATTCTGCTGTGCAGAAATAAAGAAAATGTCTCCTAGTTCTTATGCTCATTGAATCTGCCCTTTCAATTAAGAGAGATCAAGACTGGTAGAGTACTTCTGTGTTTGGAGATTTGACTTATCTCCATGAGACAACTATATTTTAACTGAAAACACTAGCTGCATGTAAATAAAAGGCGGAGCATCCCTGTCAGTAGAAGCCTGTTTAATTCTGGGTTGAATTAGTTTATTTTTACTCCATTTAAGTTCAGACAGATTGTCACTGCCATCTGGTTCCCAGAGAACAGCTATAACAAGCATGGTGAAGTCTGTGCTTAGATTTAATTTATCAGAATTTCATGTCTTGCTAGATCTATTATCATGCAATTTCAGAAGACTGGGAACTTCAGTCACACCAAATTTGTCGGACAACAAAAACAGAAGCTAGTGATATAAAACCTCAGTCAGACAGAATAGCAAGGTATAGTTCCAGTCTAAAAATAGCTACCTATTGATTCTTTGCTGCTGAAAAGGATAGGATTCAGAAGGAGAAACACCTGGGAATATTCATGTTTTCTGCTGGCTGGGAGAGTCTGCGGTTCTCTGTTCAGCATGGTTTGGACTGAGGTCTGTTTGCTTTAAAAGGGATGTTCCTTCTTAGGCATTGGGTCCTGCTGGAGCCTTTGTCCAGAAAACACAACCTTGAGTCTCATAGGTTAACCTTGTTAACTCTTCATTTCTTTCTGTATGTTTCTGTAGAATGGTCTCCAGGTAGAGATGCTACCTCAGTTTTGAGAGTTAGCTCTAGATATAATTTATTTTGTAATGATACAGGACAAGGGAATCTTGCACAGTATAAGAGGTATCTGTGTGGCCTCTAGGATTTGATCTTTCAGCTTCCAATTACATATTTACATCTGTATGTGTGTGTTCCTTGTTGGTCATGTGTCTTATCCTATGATCTCCCAGCAGAGCTAGTATTCTATTTAAGTTCTCCTTGTAAAGTATTGCTAATACTCTTTTCTGGTTTATAATGGATTTCTGGGCTCTGGAGAATAATTTGCTGACTTTAGAACTTGGAATACATCATCTCATTTGGAGTTTTCAACCATGAGGCTGTATGCTTGATTAAACCGGTTTATAATAAATGCTGCAAAACAGAAGTGCAGCTTTAATAGCGTTGTGTATATACGCTTATTATGAGTACATCATGGTTAAATTTACTTCGGAAATGGCTCACATGACATGATTCACTGTGTAGCTAGTTACAGTTTTTCTGTATTCATTGGTCTAGTTTCTGTTTGTGTAGTTCTATGCACACTGAGGATTTGCTGCTCTTTAGACCTTATCCTCAAGGGTTTTTTGTGCGAAGCTTGTCTTCTTCCTCAAAGAAGTTTTGTTTTGTATGTTGCTGTCCTGATTTCCTCTGACTGAACAATAGTGAAAAAGTGTATGTCAGAATTAGAATCAGGAGTCTCAAATCACAGCTACATCACAGGTCTGGAATATCGTTGAGTATCTGCAGCTTTCTAGTTACAGACTCTTAACCTAGTAAATAGGGATTGAAAAAAAACAAAAGTTGAACCTGATGTATGATCTTGCATATGAAATGTGTGGGTTTTAATCTCTGGATGATGAAAGGTTAGGTTGTCTTCACAAATGATACGGGGATAAACATAGATGACAAAACTGAAAAGGCATTTTAAATTGCTTTTCCGTTTCTTTTGATTCTTTTGACACTTTAGTGCCAGCTCTTCAGTTGCTTATATTAAAGTTCCTCAGTTTGTTTGCACTTATTTTGTCTTATTTTAGCACTGTATTTGAAGTCTGTGTTCAGTGTCAGAAGCACAATTACTTTGCAGCTTAATGGCTTAAAATGTGTTTTATAATCAACAGCATCAGCATCTTGAGTCGGTGTTCCTAGCAAAATGCTGTCCTAGGATCTAGTTGATATTTTTTTAATTGAGACCAATATCTTACGTTTCTCTGTTATAAAAGGATAGACTTACAGTACAAGAATCAGGTGATTGAAAATATGCTGTTCTTAATCCAAAATTGGTTCTACTCAATATTGAGAAAGCTGGTAATAGAAAAAGTAGAAGATAACTTGCCTCTGTGATGGTATGAATCTTCTGGCTGGAGGAGCCTTCTGGGAATATATTGTCTTGAGGACTCACTGCAGCTTCTGTATTACTGAACGGTTGTCACTGGTTTGTGACAACCTGCAAAGGCTAGGGGTAGGTATAGTGTTTAGCAAAGTTGAAAAACAGAGGTATTGCATTATATGAAAAGGTAGACCTTTTGACAACATCTTGGGATGTCTTTTGAATAGTTTCTTCTAAAAGTAGGATTTTGTGACTACATAAATTATTGCTTAGTATAAACCTTATTTGCAAGTAGAGCTGGTTATATTCATGCATTGTGATAAACTGTTTTAACTCTGTTTGTTTTCTTTGCAGGCTGCGGACTTGAGTAAACCAATAGACAAAAGGATATACAAAGGAACACAACCTACATGCCATGACTTCAATCACTTAACAGCCACAGCAGAAAGTGTCTCTCTTCTAGTGGGCTTCTCTGCAGGCCAGGTCCAACTTATAGACCCTATTAAAAAAGAAACTAGCAAATTATTTAATGAGGAAGTAAGTAGAAATCTTAACATTGTTGCATGCAATGTGATTGTGGTGTCAAAGATCCTAGATTCTCAAAGTCCTGTAGGTGACTTTGTCTATATAGCTTATTGTTCAGTCACCACCTTTGTTTTTCAGCTGTTTCATTGTCTTGAAATAGCTACACAAAAACATTATTCATGAAGAAATTTTGGGGGGTTAAGATTAAAAATTAGGACTTTCTAGTTTGTGTAATACTGTGACTAGTGTTAATTACAGTTAACTGAGGAGAAAGAAGGTCTGCAGATCTAGATGTTGCTACATGTGCTCTGCAGTCAGCTGTTTCTGAGGCTTCTGGTTCTGAATGAAGAAGAAAACATTTATTTCCTATTTAATTAATATTCTGGTCAACATATTTAATAAGGTGAAAATACTGATTTTTATGGGTAGGATGGTACTCAGACACTGTATCAAGGATTCCTGTAGGCTTGCATGGGCAAGACTAAGATATCAAGCTGAATGCTGCATAGAAGAAGTCGAAGGCTTGTGTGGTCTTAGCCATGTGATGTTCCTGAAAGAAATTCTTCATCTACTTTTTTTTTGCTGCTGTGTGGTAAGAAGATAGAAGGAGGTACTGTTGGAGGTACTAATGCCTAGTTACCGGGCCACTGGCTCCCATTACCTGGTAGTACTGGCATTCTTAGAATTTTAAGTTGTCTGGATGCAAACAAGGAAGGAAATCTGGTAACTGGTACAGCTTTTGACAGCACTTTCTGCAGAGGACAGCAATAGGAATTTGGGTGGGTTGGGGGAGATGATTGGTATTTTTGGGGTGTGGGGTGTTTATTCTCCCTTTTGTGTTTTAATCCAGCTGCAGGTGAACTGTGGGGGGTAATAGCAAATAGCAAAGAGCTTTGGTGGTCGGTTTGGTTTTGTGGTGTTTTTTTTTTTTTTTTTTTTGTTGGCTGGTTTTGGGTGTGTTTTTATTTTGTTTTGGGTTTTTTTAGCTATTTAAAATCTGGATAAAAGCTTTGCAGATAAAGGTAAGCCTTGCTCAGCTTTCAAACTGAGCAAGCATATCTTTCCCACCTCAGAGATGTGTTGCCTTGCTCTGTCTTTGTGCAAAGAAGGTTGAACTATTGTTCTCAGTGGGGATGGTTTATAATTAGAGGTGTCTAATTCCTCCTCAGATTTCTAAAAGTAGCTACAGCTAGATCAGAAGAGGGGTGCTTTTCTTCTTACCTAGCATTTTCCCACCTGCTCTGTCTGCTTGTGTTGAGTGCGAAACAGTGCTGGAGAATCTCTAAATGTTGCAGAGTACTCTGCATACATAGTTGAAACTTCTGCATACATAGTTGAAATGTTCATTTTAACGTTGTCCTAACACCCTTCAGCCTGCACTACTGCACTCCCCTTTTACTCCTCTTCCTCCTCCCCCCCCCCCAAAAAAAAAAAAAAACAACAACAAAACCACAATCCACCCCAAACCAAAAAACACCGAACTCACCACTGGGAGTGCTAATTTGGATGGGAATGGGAACAAGTTATTTGTGTAAGTACAGCTTCTACTTAATCTTGCATGGTAGTAGTGCAAGTGTTACAAATGGCATTAGAAGTATTATAACAGCTAGTGTTTCGTATCACAGAACACTTCCCACTCTTGTAGTTTTGGGAAAAACTTCTGCTGAAATATTTAATAAAGGTCCAGTGTGTGTTTACGTGCCTTTGTTATTTACTGTCTAGTGTCTACAGTTTAAAGAAGTATACAGTATACAGCAATGCAGCTTGTGGTAGTCCACAAGTTATAGAAGCATGGATGCTGCTTCCATTTGCCACTCGTCTTTTCTTTCTCGGGAAGCATTACTTCCCTGTGGTGGGAATGCATCCTTTGGCAGTTTGGTGGAAAGTAAATGAGATTATCTGTTTTCTACGAAGCTAGCGTAAGGATTTGTTCAGCGCTACCAAAACTGCATGCAGAGTAGGCTGGAGTTAAATAACAAATTCTTGGGTTTTACACTGGTGTTATCTGCAGGTAGAACCAATTAGAAAACTCTGTATTTTTGATCTGAGTTACGATATTGAAGTTTGGCCTGGAAGTGTTTTGAAGTTTCGGCTTGTAGCTAAAAGCCGTTTCAGAGAAAGATTAGTGAGCACTGAGTTGGAGCCAGTTTGCTTTAAGATAAACTTGGCTGTTGGGTTGAGTGCTTGAGAATAAACATTGTCTTCATAGGCAGAAGGTGGCCTAAACAAGGGTTCGTATATTTTGACAGATTTAATGTGAATACTGGAGGTAATAGAATTTACCACCTGGCCTGTTAGTAATTTGGTGATTCAGTAGCCCAAAGCTGCCTTTTGACTATCACCTGTGATAAAGCAATCAGGATAGCACTTAATCATATGTGATATGTGAAACAACTTTACCTGTTATGACACAGAAAGTTATGTTGAACTTAAAATGCAAAGACTTTAATGCAGCCTTAACTTGTTACTCTTTTTAATTCTGTTGGTACGGAAGACCATAGAGACTTGAAAGGCTGATATGCATGCTATTATAAAGCTTGTGGCTGCCTACCTAAATCAGTCTGTTACAGCAGTAGTATTCCTTCTAGCTGTGTCAGAATTTAATGAGTGGCATTTTCTTATTTCCAAAACCAACCAAGTATGCCTCACAGATCCAGTTGTTTTCAGGTGGTAGTTAGTTATTCTCAAGTTAGCAAATTGAATTATAATTCTTTCATCTTACTCTTTTGTTTATTTTAACTAAAATCTTAAGTTGCATTTTTATTTCCTAATAAACTTTTCCTATGCCTGTGTTGCCAAAGCTCTTTGTCAGGCCTTAATGCACATTCTTGATTGCCTCAGTTTTTTCACTCCTTGTGGCCTATGCTTATAATTTTGTCTCTTCAAGCTTGTGCAAAACGTGGCTACCAGGATAATCTTGGCCTCCTTGTCTTTCTGACTTGTAACTGAAGCTCCTTCATTTATTATTCCTTCACCAAACTGGACATAAGCTCCTTATCCCAGTTACCTCCCTGATTGCTTTGTACTGCTTTCAGTCCATTTTTGTAATGCAGCTGTTGGTCGTACTGACTTCAGGTCTTGTTCCACTGTGCTGCAGAAGTGCCTGAGCCCAGCTGAAAGCTTTTAAAACTTCAGGAAGTGCTAAATTTAGAGTTTTTATCATCTTGCTGAATTTAAAGCTCTGCTAGTTGAGAAAAAGATGAGTTGTATATAGTCAGTTGCTATGTATCAGCTTATAGTCTCTCTGTATCTTGTCTCCTTGAGCTAATCTGTTCTCATTGCAGATGGCAATCTTCTGTTTTGTTCATGTTCTCCTTGAAGTGAAGATCAGGCTTCCAGGATTCCTGTACAGTATTTAAGATTGTGTAGCCTAACATGATTATGGACTTAAAATGTCATTTCTAGTATAAAAGATGAGCAACTCTTCTTGTGAGTAGAGGGTGCATGTCAGGTTGAGCTGCTCTAGTACAGGAGAGCAAGAAATTGTGCTGTGTTGCTGTGTTAACGATAGTTTCATGATGAGAAGACTTCTGCTTATAGCAAGCCAGTTGGGCTGATGTACCCTGACTGTATTCTCTTGGTGTGTACCAGGTAACTATTTAATACTTGATACCATCATTACTAAAACATGAATAGTAAATATCAATGAACACATGACAAACTACCTAAAATATCACAACAGAAGCTAAGAATGTGTTGTTCTGAAGTTACTGCATTTGAGGAAAAGCCCAGATTGTTACATACCTCAGCTCTCAAGTACAAAATCGCTAATTTAACTAATGAGAAATCACAGGAGACAGGCTTCCTAGTCTTAACACTGGGCAACAAAAGTATATGCAGAAGTATGATCTAAAATGATCAGATGCTGCTTTCCAGTGTTAGGTACAGGCCCAGAATGGGTAACAGTTAACGCATTATCCATTAGTTTGGGTTTTGTTTGGTTGGGGTTTTTTTGTTTGTTGGGGTTTGTTTTTGTGATAAACAGCATAGAGAGGGTTTAGGGTTGTTTTGGGGTAGGTTTTTTGTTTGGTTTGGTTTTCTTTTTTTTTTTTTCTCCTTGTTTTGGGGTTTTGTTTATTTTGTTTTTAACATTTTTGTAACTTCTCCTGGTATTTCCTTAGGCTCTGTCTTTGCATTCTTGCCTTTAGTGTAGCTCACCTTTTCTTTCAGCCTGTTATCAGTCTATGTCAAATGCAAATCTTCAGTGTGCATGTAAAGAATTAGTTGTCTCAGAGTGGCATTTGAGTCATGCTATGGCCAACTTGGTACATTTTAGAAGTCCACCAGAGCTACACTAGCAAATTTAGGGAGTCACTTTATCTCTCAGTTCTTACAGAATTGAAGGCATTATGATCAGGAATGCTTGTTTAATGTGTGTGTTCATTCTTTTGCAGTGTTAGACTCTATTAAAAAGGAACTTCTAAGGTGGTGACTGAGTGGTCCTTGGCTAATGAAAGAAAAGTAATTGGAGGGTGGGGATTCCCAGGTGAAGAGTATGTGGTGCCTTTTCAATTCACTCACTGAACCTTGTGCATTTAGTTACTAGCTTTTCAGCCACCTGATAACAGGCTGAATGTCTCTGTAGCTTTTCTTCCCTGAATCAGTAAAACCTGGTAAAGGCTCCTAAAGCCTCCTTTTTTTTTAATTTCTTCTTGAGAGGATGGATCTTATTTGTGGTTTCAGGTAAAACCAGAGTCTCAGTTTACTGTTGTAACCTATGTAGTATAGATCGGTAACTGCCTTTTTTCCCTGTAGCTAAATCTGCGTTTTCTTGATTGTTTCCTTTTCAAGCTCTTCAACCTACACAGTGAAAAATAAAGCTAAGAACGCTGCCTTTAGATTCATAACAACAGATTGGCTTGATTGAAGTTTGTTCTTTGTGGAATGTGACTGGACCATAATAATAACCTTTGGTAGCACTTTATCTAAAAATAATTTCCTCTTTACTGCCTGATAAGATGATAAGTTTTTGCAAATGCAGTAACATAGCTCACTCCTAGAAAGCTGAGTTCACTGAAGTATTGTTCCCCATCCCACTCCCTCCCCAAGCTGAGATTTACCGTTAATCATTAAAACTTTAATTTTCAGACTTTCTGATGTGTATCTTCTTTGTTTTTCACAGAGACTAATAGACAAGTCCAGAGTAACCTGTGTAAAATGGGTACCAGGTTCGGAAAGCCTTTTCCTAGTAGCTCATTCCAGTGGCAATATGTACTTGTATAACGTGGAGCACACTTGTGGTACCACAGTCCCACACTACCAGCTACTTAAACAAGGAGAAAGTTTTGCAGTACACACTTGCAAGAGTAAATCTACAAGAAACCCTCTGCTTAAATGGACAGTAGGTGAGGGTGCCCTGAATGAATTTGCCTTTTCCCCAGATGGGAAGTTCTTGGCGTGTGTGAGCCAGGATGGTTTTCTTCGTGTGTTTAACTTTGATTCGGTGGAATTGCATGGTACAATGAAAAGCTACTTTGGAGGACTGCTGTGCGTGTGTTGGAGTCCTGATGGGAAATACATAGTGACAGGTGGAGAGGATGACTTGGTAACAGTATGGTCTTTTGTGGACTGTCGAGTAATAGCGAGAGGCCACGGACATAAGTCATGGGTCAGTGTTGTTGCGTTTGATCCATATACCACTAGTGTAGAAGAGAGTGACCCAATGGAATTTAGTGGAAGTGATGAGGATTTCCAAGACCTTCATTTTGGCAGAGATCGAGCAAATAGTACTCAATCTAGGCTATCCAAAAGGAACTCTACAGACAGTCGTCCCGTAAGCGTTACATATAGATTTGGTTCCGTAGGCCAGGACACACAGCTCTGTTTGTGGGATCTTACAGAAGATATCCTCTTCCCCCACCAACCTCTCTCAAGAGCAAGGACACATACAAATGTTATGAATGCCACAAGTCCACCTGCTGGAAGTGGTGGAACTAACCCAGGAAGTAATGGAAACAGTATCACAACACCTGGAAACTCTGTACCCCCTCCTCTTCCACGGTCAAACAGCCTTCCACATTCTGCAGTCTCAAATGCTGGCAGTAAAAGCAGTGTCATGGATGGTGCCATTGCTTCTGGCGTTAGTAAATTTGCAACCTTATCGCTACATGATCGGAAGGAACGACACCATGAAAAAGATCACAAGAGAAATCATAGCATGGGACATATATCCAGCAAGAGCAGTGACAAACTGAACCTAGTTACTAAAACCAAAACGGACCCAGCTAAAACTTTGGGAACACCTCTCTGTCCCCGAATGGAAGATGTTCCCTTGTTAGAGCCTCTTATCTGTAAAAAGATAGCACATGAAAGACTGACTGTGTTAATTTTTCTTGAAGACTGTATAGTCACTGCTTGTCAGGAGGGATTTATTTGCACATGGGCAAGGCCTGGTAAAGTGGTAAGTTTTAATCCTTAATGCTGCATCAAAGAACTAGAACTCTGAATAGGTAGTTTTCTTGAAATATAACTGAATGTTGACTATAAAATTTCTTTATGCTTAATGTAAAAAAAAAAAAAATCCTCAGAGCCATACTTTTGGATACTGCATGCCGTATTTCTGAATGATTTGAAGTGTCTTGGGTACAATTAAGTATAGTTGCCTTCCAGCAGAAGAAATAAATACTGTGCATCTAAACTATTGATCAGTGTTCTTATACTATGTGAAGATTGAAGTAAAACCTGTCCATCACTAAAATGATGATAATCCTTCTAATGTTTTCTACAAAGTACAACACTTCCAGTGAGAGTAGCTTGTGAAAAGCTGCGGCTTTTAAGTCTAATGAGAAATATGAGCCTCTTAAAAAATTAAAACCAAAGTGTTTTATTCCTCTATCCTTTTCTGTGGTGGCCTGCCTTTAATGTAAAATCACTTCTTATTAAAGCATCAGTCATTTTATGCACAAATTTGCTAGCCCTTTACTGACTGTAGCTTATGCTCTTGAAATTGTGACTTAGTATAATCAAAGAAATCTAATTTTAGCCAGGTATTGATTTATGTATTTGTTAAATTAGGGAAAATCATGCCAGCTTTCTCTGAGTAGTTTCAGTTACTGTCGGTTTTTGTTAGGCAGTTTGATCATCAACAAACTTGTGTTTTTTTGATGGCACCTATTCTGTCAGTTGAACCTTCATTAAGATATGCTACTAGTTTTAAAACTTGTTGTTAATGCACTTGAACACAGATAAAACTTCATTTTTCTTCTGTCCAGTGCATAGCAAGCTAGATTTTGAATGAAGCTAACCATGGTGATTATTTTGTTAAAAAGTACTTTGTGCTAAAATAGCTCTTTTTGCCAGCAGCATTTTAAAGGAATACAGCTATGAAAACATCACCAGAGTTGTTCTAGCAAAAAAGACCGTTATTTTTGTGAAAAAGTAGGTTACCACCTGAAGAAAATTAAGTAATCTGCTAATAGCCATGTTGGGCAGCCTAAATGAAAATCTGCTGTTCATTAGGTTCATAAAGCTTTTAACCATTTGGTTCATAAATCTGACTTTTGAAGTGGAGGTACTGTATATATTTATATACCACATCTTCATTGATAGAACCTTTTAAGTAAAACTTGGTAATTTTTCTTAAACCTGTTTGTATAGTGTAATCATCTTTGAGATGTTATCAAATTTGTCACAACACAGGTATGCACAGAGAGCTCTGTCTGCTCTGCATCTTAATGCATAGTTGAAGGCTGAATCTAAACCTAAAATTTGGAAGCCCTTTTTTGGGGAGAAGGAAGAAGAGTGTTACCTAAACTATTTTTTGCCTCAGAACTACAGAGCCAGCATTAATTTAATTACAAAAGAAAAAAAAAGAGCATCCCCCAAAACACTGAACTATTTAAAATGCTTGTCCTGAATGCAAATGCTAAAGCAGTTATCACTTCTGTGACTTGGTGCAATTCATGTCTCATGAATTACCTTTATAAATGTACAGCAGTGCCTCAGATTTCTAGTGTGCCCTGTATAGTCCTTTTGTTCTAAAACTCCTTTACATACTACTGAACACTACACTGTTAAATTACTTCCAGTGGCTGAGGTGGGTTTTGTTAGGCTGGATATAACTTAAATATTTATGTGTGTTGACTTTGATTTGGAATATGACATTTCAAATATTTCAGAGATAAAGTATGCAGTACCAAAAATCAGGATTTATGTATTGGCCAATGTGGAAAACTTTAATTACAGGTAAGTAATTTTCATGCTGAAGTTATCACTTTCAAAATTAATATATTGCACACTGATGTAAATGCCATATTGTTTAGGAAGTATTTACTTAGAAACTTCAAAATGAATTTGTTTTTCTGATTTCACTTGCATTTCTAGTGAGCTCACTCTGCTGGTTAAAACTAAACTTCGGTGGCATGTTTACAGGGCTTCGATAGGAAAATATATTTGTGCCAGAAGGACTTTATGAGCATCCTTTTTGTTTATGGGAAAGCACTTAATAATTTTATTTAATGAAAATTGCTGAAGTATAAAACACTCGTGGTAATGTCTTTCTTACTGGGTTATATGCCATCATTTCCATTTTGCCAGCTGTTTTATCCTAGTCTGTCCCTTTACTCTGGGGTTTAAAGCTGCTGTTTCTAGTCTTCCTTTTGAAATGTGGGTCCCCAAGTGATCGTGAAACTCCATCACTTTTTTGTCTGCCAACTCTAGAGTGAAAGCCTCTGAATCTTGCTGTTTCTTCCATCATTGCCTCTGAAGGCCTTCATTAAATTCATGCCACTGCCAGTCTAAAGAAAGAATTGGATGGAAAACTGAAGCAGACTTGCAGTGTCCAACATAATTTCCATTGAGCCAGTGCTACCTTTCTCTCTCATTTTGAATAGCCATTAAAAGATGTGCTGGATAATTGGACAGTGTATGACAAGTTCTCTTCTTTTTTTCTGGTTGGGCATGTGCTGCCCTTAGTGGGGAGGTGACGGGGGAGAAATAAATGTCTCTTCAGATGTCATCCTTATGATATTTATTAGGCTGTACAGCCCTTACAGAGGGGCCTGACAGTTGGTTTATAAACTTTCTAAATTGCTACCTTTGTGTATACATAATCATACCTTGAGCTTCCTCACTGGATATACCATTCTTGCATTGCACTTTTCCAGAACTGGTGTACTAACGCCCACTCAGAGTGAGGTGAAGTGAATGGCAAAATTCAATTAGAAACAAGGTGAATTGAGGCTAAGGGTTCATTAGTTCTAATTTTTACTCTTGTTTTTTGTAGCCTGTGTCTATGGAGAAAAATAGATTGCCTTAGCAAGAGTAAGAACTTTCTTCTCAACATGGTAACAACTAGCTGTTGCCTCTTGCCCCCATCTTTCCTAGGCCCTGCTGAGGACTCTAAATGGGATTATAGAAGTGTTGTATTTATTTGAAAACACAGAAAAGTAATTTTAAAGCAACCAAGGTAAACTTCATATGCTATCTTTATAGCTACTTCAAATTGAGTTACAGGACTTGCAGAACAATTAAAAACAAAAAACTCCACTCAGAAACAACCCACAGAACTCCTGAAAAAACCAAAGTGGTACCTGGATATGCAAAACAAGCTTTCTCTGAACTTAGCGATCAGAGGAACTATCTATGTGATTCCTGTGTTTGACTTCAGAATTAACTATTCATCATCTTGTACAGTGACTCCATGTTATCTAAGTGAAACTTGATGATGAGTTTCCTTTGTAAGAAAGCTCAAGGTAAGATTGGCCAGAGAATGAACAGGTGAAATGGCAGTGTATAACCTGGCAAGATAAACATGCTACCATTTTGTAAAACAAATGCACATGGTATTTATTTATTTGATTTATTGTACAGGAGAGCTTAGACTTAAATTATAACATCCTTGAATTTTCTAGTTAACTACAATTGTAGTACGGTATCATGTTATAGTATGACTTCTGTTTTAGTGAAAGTACTTAAACATTCATGTACTATATTTGAGTGAGATGAGCAGCTATACATACTAATTCTTCCTCTATGGAAAGGAGCATTTCATCATTACAATTGAAGTTCAATTGCTGGTATTTAAGTACTATCAAATAGATTTCTTTCAACGTGATATGGTATCTGTATAAACTTCAGGGATGATTATAGTAAAACTGAAACACAGCTATATGACTTCAGGTTACCAAGCTAAAATTTGAAGCTTTCTGTAATGTGCATAATAGCAAAGTTGCACATAGCAGACCTGCATTGTCAGGGTGAATTTAAACCTAGAACACTGGTGTGATATTTATAGCAAGGTATGTGTGTTTGCACGTGTGTGAGGAGGTGTGACTAGTGGCTCGAATATAGCCAGGAGAGATCATAACCCTGTAAAGGCTTTATGATGAGGATGTCTGGATTAGGAAATAACATTACTTTTACTAAACACGTTTTAGAAAACCCATGTTCTGAATTATCACCTTTTCAAAATATGTACTTGGAATGACTGTATACGTCTGCCCCTTTAACAACATAAAGCTACTAAATTAATATTTAAAATGCTGGCCTGCTTATGTTACAGTAATAAAATTTGTGTCAGTTAATTTACTGTCAATTTACGTGTAAAGATTAAACAATATTTTTTCTGCATTTTATGAATTCTGTATACTGAGTTTGTTAAAGATTGACATGTTAGGTGATACTGTACGAAATTGTATTGACTACCTTTAGTGAAAATCAGAAGTAAAATTCATATGTATTTTCTTTTTACACTTCCATCTAATTTCTTGACAACTTGAATAAATTTCATAGAGCCTTTCTAACATGAACTATTGTTAATTTAACTGTTGCAATAATTAAGCTTTAAGAAATATTGTTGGTATATTTATAATTTTAAGAAGATCATGTTTGTTTCATACTGCTTATTTTTAGCTGTTCTATTGTCACTGTTACAGCTGAAGAACTTTACTAAATACTTGACATTACAAAATAACTTGCTGGGGTTGTCCTCTGTATACTGATGTTAAATAAAAATGTGTGATTGAACTGTAAATGTAGATAACTTTCAATAGTCCTTTCCACATTTGAGTTTTAATTTATCTTGCAGTCCTTAGGTGGTCTTATGCTAACGTAACAGGCTTAACAAATGGCCACAATGAAAGCTGTTAACTTGCCATATTTTAAAGTAAGAAAATAATCACATCCTGTAACCTGTTCTAAGTAAATATTTCACTTCATCTCAAGATGATGTGTATGTTTTGATGTTTAAATCTTGCTGATAAGGTCATGTCTCATGATACTTGCGGGTTTTTTTAGGACTAGAGTAATACGAAATGGAATACTTGCCAAAAGACTTGTCAAGCTGGTTTAAACTCAGATTCAGTTAAACACAGACATATTTAGATCCTCTCTGCCTACCTGTCAAATAGGAGCTGGGGCAGAGTGTTGTTTATTCTAGGACTCTACAGGAGCTCTTTCCTCAGTGGACTTTGGTGCAGGGTATGTTCTTTATTCCAGCCTTGGATCGTGATATTTACCTAATGAATGCTGAATTTACAGCCCTGTGGGTATGGCTGATTCAGATGATCCACGTGTTTCTGTCTAGAAGAGCTGTGGCTAGTCTAGAACTAAGCTTGTCTCAACAAAAACTATAAACCAGTCAAAAACTCTGGCTGCAAAATTTCTTGGAACCAATTTAGGTGAAGACTTCAGATGTTCCCCTTCCATCTGAGTGGACAAGGGATTTCATCACCCTTGCAGCTGTGGTTCTGTGTTAACCAATGAAGGAGCCAAAGAAATTACACTTACTAAAGTGTTTCAAAGGCACTTCTGAGAAATTTCAGTTAACTGCTGAGAAGCAGTTAGCTACTTTGGGCCGAGACTAATTGAGGTAGGACTCAGTTCATCTGTTAAGCAAAAATGCTCTGTAGAATAAAGTTGAGAAAATCAGTCTTTCTTATGTGAACTTAAGAACTTTCTGGTACTTCAGAAGGTATTGACTGACCACTGTGATGGTGTGTGTATATATACGTGTGTGTGTGTGTACATATATATGTGTATATACATACATATATTAAAAAAAATAAAAACATACAGGTATTATAAAGTACAAGTACCAATAGAGGAACAAAATGGAATCCATCCTGATAGCTTCTGGGTACATCCAGTTACGTCAAATGATGCAAGAACTGGTTGGTCACACCAGTTTCTTAGCAGTCAATTCAAGGATGAAATGAAACTGTCTTTCACAAGTTCTGTGGTCAGAGAAGATACTTTGGCAAAAGATGTCATGGAACATGAAAGTTGTCTTGCTTGTCTTCAATAACATTGCTCAAAAATCTTGAGGAAATAACTTACATGTTCACATTAGTTTCTGTGTTTTGAAGTGGGTTTTTTGGTAGGTGCTCATCAACCTTACCAAATTCATTTAGCTCTTTTCTTCTCCTGCTAAGACCACACTTACTTTACAACTAACCCAAACGGTATTGTTTTAAGTCATATGCTTTTCCCTGATTTAGCTCAATTGCATTCTTTTCTAATCTGAAAATTTTAAATCTTAGTGGCTTTTGTATTTGAGGAAGCTGGAGTAGCCTTTAAGTATGTGAGCCCTTACTACTGAAATGAAGCTTAAGGTTCTATTGCTCAAGCTGGATAGGTTTCTGCTGGCAAAAGCCTTTTGTGCTTTTCCCAGCACACTAGAGAAATTTTTTTGCAGTGAGAACAATCCACCACTGGAATAATCTCCCTGGGGAAATGGTGGATTCCCCAGCATTGGACACTCCCAAGATTATGCTGGGCAGGGTGCTGGGCTATCTTGTCTAGGTCATACTTTGCCTAGAAAGTTGGACCAGATCATTCTTGAGGTCCCTTCCAACCCAGTAGTCTGTGATTCTGATTTATGTAGTTGCATCTTACTTTTTTTCTCTTGCATTTGTTTATCTTCCATTTGCCAGTCCTACGCTGGTCTTGAAGCACTCTTGCCTAATGCCACAAGGCAGATTTTTAGTTAGTTTGCTGGCTTTCTATCAGGCTTGATTTTTCTTTTTGTTGGCAATGAATAAAATAGTGATACACCTCTCAGGAGAAGCAACTTCCTCATGTACACAAAAAACTCAGAACTGAAACTCCCTTGATGCTGCTACATGCTTTTAGCAGTATCAGGTGGTTTAAGCATTTATACTTTCCTGTAACATTACTAGAACAAAGAATTAAAAGGGCAAACAGAAGACAACTAATACACTTAAAACTCTTGTTAAGTGAATAGACTATGTAAAGTTATCAGCTTTGCCGTATCGCCCTAAATCCCATGCAAAGTACATCTTGTATGTTATGTAAGTGTTCAGCATGTGCTTCCTTGACCATTCTCAATTGATTTTTATGCCTCCATTACACTAGTATCTTGATTTAGTGAGTATATGCGGTTCAGAGACTTATGCTAATAAACGCTGAATCATTTGGATAAGAAACTGTTGGATATTTTGTTCATGTAACTCTTAAAACCAATTCAGCTGATTTGACGACAGAATTTTAAACATGAAAAATCTCACTCTGTTTTGACATTTTGCTGTTGCTCAAATACTGTATTGGACTGTGGGCTCTTCTGTCAAACAAAGGTCCAGATGACTTTTTCAGATTACTTCAGGAATGTCACACTTCTGGACAGGAATAAATTACAGGAATTTTTATTTACGGGAATATTTACAGGAACAAATATGGAATGTTCCTCCAATAATAAATCCCCATTATTTCATATACTAGCAATAGCAGAAATGCTTTAACAAATCAGTGCTATTTTTGTATGGGCAGTGATTAATTCAGCCTATTTTAAAACCTGGTTTAACTGTTACCAGTAAAGTGCACTGGGAGACACCCCAGGGTTTTTTTATGTTGATTGTTACATTGGACCCTTTGATTTTTCTACTTTTTGATTTCTAAACAGAAAGTAGGCAAGAAGTGCAGAGTTCTGACAGCAGTCTAGCTCTGGTTACTGAGCAGCAGCTGAGCTGTTTGGCTGGAGGAGGGCGAAGGCTGAGCATGTGCCAGGAGCATTGCAAGGCAGCAGATTGTCATCCATTTCCCATCTCCTGCTCATGTGTTCAGACTTGCAGTTTATTTTCTATACTAGTGAAACTGCATATGATTGCATCTTTGGCTCCAGTGAATCCTGTTCTAATTTACATGAAGAAAATACTAACTCAGTAGTTACTGGTGCCTTTTATTTTTTTTTCAATACTTACTGGTATCTTTTTTTTAATTTTTCTTTAAATACAGCAGTTTTGGACTCATGTTTCACAGTTTCTGTTGTGAAACCTTGTGTTTCAGATCTTTGGGGGAAAAAGGTGAAAAATACCCAGACTCTGGCTGAAGCATATGTGGAATTCTGTAAACAGCCCCCCCCCCTCACCCCCACCCCCAGTCTGTTGTGAGCATGATTAACCCCAAGACTGCTGTGGGCCTTTCTGGACAGGGGACAGTTGTGAGTGCTACAGCTGTCAGTGGAAAGGACCTTTAGGATCCTAACTGTTACAGCTTTTCATTCCTACCTGTGCATGCCTACTTTTACTAAGCTGAGTCCTGAGTGTTTAGGGAAGTCAAAGAATGCAGAGACAAACCTGGAACAGACTTTGCAACTAGCACTGAAACAGCCTGCATCCAGTACTCTCCCTTTGCTAACTGATGCAAGAAACACACCTTTCTCTGGGAAAGAAGCTTATTTCAGCTGTAGAGTATTCCATTATGATGGCAGAAGATGCAGGACCTACTTGGAGAGCCCTCTCTGAGGATTGCTTTAGGAAATTTCTGACTTGGGTCTCCTCGCTGTTCCATTTCCCACCCCCTGCTAGACCCACACACTTACAGAATGACACCACTAATGAAAGACTCCATTTATTTTCAGACCTTTTTTGAACAATCTCTTAATTTGTTTCTGCTGCTTGCTTGGTGTGATCTGTTTGCTGCTCAGCTCTAAGCTGATGCACTGTACCACATGGAGATCTGCGGTGCTCATGTCTCAACTCTTTGGTCACGGTTGTTGAACTGTGCAGCTCTGCTGTACACTATTAATTGCTGCAGCTTTTCTTCCATCTTTTACCACCTCGTTGACAAGGCTGGATGGTTTCATCACAGAAAGCATTGCAGCCCAGTTTCTTTATTCTTCATTTACAGGCAGGAGGTTTCTGTGGCTATTCTATAACCTTATCTATTATATTATTCCCAGAGAATGCAATTACAGATATTCTAGTACCACACGCTTTCTACAACAGATCAGATTCTTAAGAGTAACTTCTGTGTCAAACTTAACTTTTCTTGAGCCTTCTTTTGCTCTTCTAACATGGCTTTCTGAAGGTTCCTATGTTGCACCTAACATGATTTCTTAAACCCTCGTTGCTTGAAAGGCTGCAGTACAATGGCAAATTCTGCAGAATCTTTTTGTTACTCAGGGCCCACTGAGAACACTCGTCACTTTGGTAAAACTTCTGTGCCTAAAAACTGAATTATTTTGCTGTTCCTGTGTGAAATCTGAGGTCTCTTCTGAAATTCGGTACTTGGAAGAACATACAAAACTTCTGACCTCTCCCATTTGCAGTAACAAAAGGGTACCAGTTGTCAGATTCTTTCCACATGGTGATCCTCTGGCTTGCCTGCTCACACCTGCTCACAGTTGCAGAATTAATGCAGAGCAAGGATTTTTAGAGGAGTTGTAGGAAAATAAATGACTCTTCATTTTGTTTCCCAACAATTGGTTGTGTTCCAGTGTAAATCTGATAGCAAAATGGTGCTTATTTCTCTTTGTCTGCAAAGCATGGTGATGAACGTGTTGAGAAAGACCCAATGTCATTCCTGGTACTTTTTATGTGCTTAGAAAGCATGTATTTGAATATGAGCAGCTTGGATCACTGATTTATTAAAGACTGAAAATAATACTTTTGGATGTCTTTTTCCAGGGTACTTAAAGTTGCTTAGGGTATGTATCTTCTGAAAAGGAAGACCTTCCAGTAAGAAACTGTTCCCAGTGCTGGCTTTAAGAAGAATGTTCAGTAATGAACTATAGAGTTCTGATTCATCTCCATTACTTTCAAACAAAATTCTCTTGGTAAATGTTTTCAGAAGTACTTCAGTAGCTTCTTTGCTTCAAAATTCTGCCTTTTTTTCACCATCTATTCCTTAACTAATAGCTAGAAAACTTCCTGTTCTCTTCTTGTGAAATACGCTGTATCTTTGTACTGAGTGTTGAACAAGTTTAAAGAATGACCCACTCCAGTCTACCTCAGCAATGTTTGAATCTGATATCCACTATGTAAACAAGTGAAAATAGAGTGTTCTGGTTCCTGCAGGTGCAATCTATGGAGGATACCAAATTAAGCACCACATAAATTTGTTTTATATAAATGTGTGTACACATACACATAGTCTGCTATAAATCCTGCAGATGTATCCAGAATCATCGTGTCTGAGCCAGTAGATCAGATGTGTTTTGAAAGGGCAGGCTATGGTTTTAGCAGGAACTTAATGACTTGAATCCAGCCAGAGCAGCCTTCCTTCCACCTCTTCTGTGGAAAGGGTTTTTTTCCCCCAGCTATGATCTTTCAGTTCTTGGATCCAAGCAAGAAAGAGCTCCTGTAGATTCTGAAGTTGTAGGCTAATTCTGTGTTATATGCCAGTTGTCTGCCTGAGCTTGTCTAGTTTGATGGATCTGAGTCACAGGATCTTAATTTTGAGGTAAGATCCTAAGCTGGTAGCTGTTGAGAGGAGTTGCTAAAAGTGCATTGACCATGCTTGCATGGTAGAGTCACACAGTGATACTCATTGGTGTGCTTCCAGCTTAGCTGCTGTTGTGCTCCTCAGCTTGCTGGCACTTGCTGCAACTAAATCATGACCTTGCAAGAAGACCAGATTGTATTTTTGTATTAAGCTTTTCCTAATTAAGTCTGATACACAGTTATCTTTATGTAAATGATTAAAAAGGGACTAGTATACATAAATCTGAAAAGGAATTTATTCATTGATACCTATCCGTAAGGTATAGTTGTCTTAAATCATTACAGCAGCCTCTGTGTAGCAAGGGGTGCCATGCAGTTGCGCAGTGACATCTGAAATGAGTAAGTCTCATTTTATTTAAGCAGTGATGTTGTTAAAAGAGCGGGTGAAAAGTTTTCCTGAATGCAAACTTAAATTGTAATGGGGAATCTTTTCTGAAGTCTTGCTCAGTGTTTCATTCTCTCTTAAAATTACCAGAATAACTACCTGGTTAGATAATCTATTTTTCTATTTGAAGCTTGTAATATTCAGTAGCATTTCAGAGACTGTTTCCCTGTATCAGGTTAGATATCAACCTTGTTGATACTGGAACAGGTTGGTTTGTTGGTACCCTAATAAAACACTGATCACTTTTCTGATGTATGGTTTTTAACGTTTTGCAGTTTGCAATGACTCAAAATGCAAGGTAGATTAAATCAAATGCTGGGATCAGAGTCACTGTGTGTCATAACCGCACACGCTTGCTTTCTTACTTACCAAGAGCTCTTTTGTGTGCTGCCTGACTGATACAGTAGCGGCCTAGATTCTTTCATAGGGAAGAAGGTGCTGATGTCTTAACTAAGCAAGTGGTGGTAAAAGTAAAATGTACTCATTTTAGCTTCAGGCTAAGAACTTTATAAACTTAATATCAGGTTCTCTTGCTGGATTAATGTAAATTGCTTTGTTTGCAGGGTTTATTGTCATCCCAAAACCAGGCCAATTCTCCAAGTGGAACTGTAGTATAGCCATCACACTACTGCTAGCAAACCTCTGAACGCAGGACAAGAAGTAATGACAGTGGAACCAGGAGCTGTTCTTCAGGCAAAGAGCATCACAAATTGTAATGTGGCAGAGTGTAAACACAGAATTATGTGAATCACATAGTAATTTGCAAAGGAATAATGTAATGAGTTCTTATTACAGCTAATACTGCTAATCTGCACACCCAAGGAAGGGTTTTCATGGCAGGGGGCAAGCTTCCTTTGGTGCTGCAGGAAATAATAGTAACATTTTTGGTTTTCTTTATACTTTTCAAGTACAGTGTAATTTAATCTCTCTATAAATATATAAATAAAAGATATATATATAATGTAAAATAAAGTATGTTTCTTAAATTCAAGTAAGTTCAATGGTTAAACTAGTACTTCACCATTGTTTATTTTGCACTGATTTTTTTAACCAGAGATGGCTAGAAGACAGCCTGGAATGCACTCATGGAAAATGAAAGTCATTACTTTCTGGCTTCAAAATGTTATTCAGGAAGATGGATGCTGCAATCATAGATTTTTAAAACAAAATTGTTTTGCACTTAAATAGTTTAATGCTAATAGAAAATTACTTTTTAAATGGTGTCCAGACACCAGAAAAACTACGTTGTGAAGAAAAGATCCTTTGTATCTATTAAACATTTATTTTAATATTGTTGTTTCCAACTGCCATTGGCTCTGTATTATATGTATAAATAATGTAATGGAGTGATGGAGAGGGGAGTAACGGATCATTACACTAGAACTTCTCATTCATTTAAGAAAGTGATATTTCTAATTCAGAAAATACATATTAAACTATCTTGAACATGCATTTTTGTTTACTTTTTGTTCAAATTCAGTCACTTTTGATGTAATCAGTCCTTTGTTGAATTAAATGTTTGGTACAGACATAACATCTAAACTTTGTACAACAAATTCCTTTCAAAACTATTTCATCTAGAACATACATGACTTCGTATTTAGTATAGTTGAATTTTGATTAGGAAAGTAAAATAACATTGTTTTGTTCTTGCTTGTAATGGTTTATCTCTAAATACATCATACAGCAAAAAATGTGCAGACAGACAACTGTACAGGGTAAGGATTTTGTAACCACAAAGTCCCAGGAGTTGTGAAGTGGAAGATCCAGCAGCAGTAGATGTACATGCTTTCTGACTTGGCAGTCTAATATTAGGTCAATGTATTGGAGTTGATGTGTTTCTGAGACAACTTGTTTGTCTTACATGAGACATCTCATTTATAATTCAACACTCTTAAGCTGCTAAGTGTTACGGAGATAGGCGTAGTGTATTTGTACAGTTCAGTGTTGCTTGTCTTAACACGTGCTATTTTAATCAGTCTACAACAGAACACTTAAATTGTTTTCAATAGTTCTTGCAAAGATTAACACACCCACCCCCCCCACCCACCCCCAAGAGACACTGCTCTGTGTCAAGCCCCAGAATGGCACAGAAGTACCTGCTGTATCTTCCTCTGTTCCCTATATGGCAGTGTTCTCAATTAGGCTTTTGCTGAATCCTGCACAGGCAGAGCAGAGCAGAATAGAGGCCACGAGCCTGGGAATGTGGAACTCGCCCGAGTATCCATGCGCAGTGAGGGCAGATGTTAATGCCCTTCCTGCTCCTGCAGTAGTAAAGTGAGGTAGAATTTTTTAAACTGCAAGTAAAGTTTAGGTATCTTCTGGCATAAGAAGTTAATTTTTATTTTTCCAGGAAATTAATGAAAATTTGGGGGGAAACAACTGCCGTGGCTACTTGTAACTAAGTCTAATACTTATAATTCAGCTACTGTGTAGAAAACCACTAGATACATTTATAAGCTGGCAGTTAAATTGTCTATGTTATTAAAGATGGAGCTGTACTTCACAATTCTTTCCTACATTCTTCTAAAGTATAAGGAATGGGGAAAACACTGAAACTGAGCAGGATTATTGTTCAGAAGTTTTGTTTTATTAACATAGTGGGTTTAACTGGTAAAATACAGATAAACCTCAGCACTGAAAACTACTGTAGTTACCTCCCTGATGTAAATGCTTTGTACGGTCTGAGTCAAAATGAAACGGTTGAGAATAGGTGTAATGATTTAAAAAACTTTTCCTTGAGCTGGAAAAATACAAAACCCCTATGGAAAGGATTGGAGTATCCAACATTAGGGTAATAATTGCAGCTGCTTGCATATGCGTTTGCGGAGTATGTCTCTCATAGTTCAACAGCATTCAAGGAGCATTTGTGGTAGTTCTATTTTCAGCCTCCTCTTTACCATCACGATGTCATCTAGAAGCTTGAACTGCCCATCCCACCCTTTATTCCATGTAGAAAAAAAAATTCTCCAGGAAGAAAAGGGATACTTATAACTTACCTGAAAAGAACTCTGAGTTCTACTATAGACACAGCTCTTCATAACATTTTCCAACTATGTTAAAAAATAAAAGTGAGTGGAACACAGATCAGTTCATTATGGAATTTTAGCTGGAAGAATGAGAGTAGAAAGAAGACTTGCCAGTTTGTAGCTTAAAGTTGAGTGTATTTTAACTATAAAGCAGGTGGGAAAGTTCGAGTTTGTCAACTAATCAACAGCCAGAGAAGTCCAAGTTGTCTCCAGAGGTATAACAGCAGAAAACTTTATATTAAATAAATACCTGTGAAGTGCCATATATGCCAAACTGTGTAAAATCCTCCTGAAACTGTAAAATAAAGAAAAATTCCAATGTGGCCCTTCCCTTCAAATTTCTAATTTTCATATCAGAAGCAATCTGCTGTATGTGAAATGGCCTTTTTCATTAGAACAGCCTTGACAGCCACAGGTAGATAGCGACTATGTAAGACAGAATTACAATACACAAGACTGTACGCTGGTTGCTGCTACTCTCCAAGCTTAAACTTACCAAAATTCTTACCTTATCAAAAAACAACCACTTGCTTGGTGTACGAATAATTACCTACCTGATACATCAATAATAGAAGCAAACAGTTGCAATAACACTTTTCAAATTAAACAAGACCTTGTGCAGACACAATCTGAGGGAATTTTTTTTCTTTTTAGTTGAAATATTTAAACTTCAGCATGTGTGGTTTTAGGTTTCCAGAAAAAGATTATGGGAAGCTACCAATTAACATATCTCTATCAAGAACATACTCTTGATAATACAAGCCTTGGCCTCATATGTAATGCTAGGAAGAGAACTCTTGAGACTGAATGATCAGTCAACTGTCAGTAGAAGGGTTTGTCTTTTTTGTTTTTTTTAATCTTGTAAGAAATTAGTAATTGCAGAGAGCAAGAAGATCCCATAGATACAATAAGTTACCTATTTTTAGACCATTTTTACTGCTGCACACCATACTTAACTACAAATATACTGGCACCAAGCAACTCATCATCTTCCCCTCTGGGAAAAAACACTGGATAAGCTCATGACACTTTTGGTTAAGGTACACGGTCAGAAGTTCCAGTTACACTTTATTGCCTGCAGACCTACAGTCGTTAATTCTACTTCCTAAGCTTAGCATCACACCTTTATTTTATGCATACATACATACATATATATATATGTATAAAAATCCTTTACTGAGTTTGTATATACAACACGGCCCCCACCTGCCTTGTCTTTGATTGTGTTTCATTTGTTCATTATACAGAAAACGTTGAGCAGAAGCAGTCCCAGAGGGGGGTTGTTACTGAAAGAAAATCTGATCACTTCCCAGTTATGAGCAGAGTAGCTTTTAGAACTAATAAAAAAAAAAAAACACAAAAAGGTTATTGGCAAAACCTGTCTTGCATGCGTACTTGGTAGGCAGACGACTTTTAAACCCCCAGCTAAGTATGACTTGTACAAACACATTTGCTTCTTAAACAGCAAACCTGTTTTGTAACACATCACCAAATTTAAGCATTGCAAATAAATTATGGCAGATTTTTTAAGAGATCTCAGAGATTTAAAATCCATAGTATGAAACTGCAATAATGGCTCCTTCCAAGTAGGTTAAAAACTCTGCCTTTTAATTACTAGGAAACAGTGACATTGCTACTGATGATCTGTGCAAAATTAAGTAAAAGCCCATACTACTCTTTTTAAGCAACTAGCTGCAATATCAGTCTCTGTTAAAGCTTGAAGAAAACTACATTTTATTTGCTTTGAATCAGATAAAAAGTTGCTTTAGTTTTTAGCTACATTATAGTTCTCTAGCAATATTCAGCAGTTACAGAAACTGCATCAAAATTAAGTACCTCTTATGATTCATAATGGGCACATCCTCAATAAAAGCTGAAGTTACTGAACACAGGAGGTTAGCACTTGCCAGAACTGACTGAAAAATACTTTTTTACATCTAAAGCTATACAAAGGTTAGCTGTCATTTATAATGTAATATGAAATCCTGTATTTTGTAGATAATATTCCATTCTAATACTGAAGCTCAAAGAATCTTTTCATGTTATTTTTAACAAACCTTCTTCTTCATCAGCTTCTGAAAGGAAAATACACTTAAAAAGCTCAATGCAGGGTGTGTACTGAGCTCACTGAGCTCTGCCAAATGCCACTTCAGATAATTCTTTTTTAAAAATTCCTGCCTCACTTGATGTTTCTTGCAGTTTTTCCCAAAGGAATTCCTTACAAAGCCTACACTGATGAAACGCAGAGTTAAACTGGTGGAAAAAGTCACTGCTTCTATGGAAGGAGAGTTTGTGCCTTTGAGGTTAAATGCACAGCAGAAAATAATTTATAATTATTGGTTTTTTTGCTAATGCAATTTGCTTTTTTGAGAAAAACCTGTATTTGAGGGATTTTCGCGTAGTAATGACTTCTGTCTCACCTTGCCGATACAGGGAACTCTTCAGAGTGAGTATATTGAGTATTTTTCACATAGCTTGAACATAAACTGAGTTTTAGTCTGCCAGAACTTTTAATCAGATTTTATTTTTTTTAATTTCCAATGTCAAATACAAGTTTAGGATTTTCCCATTTTGTTATTTTCTTCATATTTTTTAGGATATCATCTTAGTATAATTAAGTAAAAAAAAATTACTTGCTCAAGATGTAGACTGAAGGTCTGAAAAGAAAGGCAGAAGCACTTCATGCCTCTGCTACAACTTCTTCTATAAAGCTCTTTAATTCAAAGACAGCAAAAAGATGATTAAAAAACCAAACGTGGAACTGATTCTTTAAGTAAAAGCAACTATGATAAAAGTCTACTGAAGGGATTATGTGGTATCACAGCTTCTAAATTCTAACTCGTGTTTTTCAGAGCTTGGGGGCAGGGGGAAACCAAATAAAGATCAGTCAGGCAGACTCAATAAAACCAAGTAATCGGCTTAAGTAAAACATTTGTTTCTAGCTAACAAGCTTAATGCCACAAATTACTTTCTCTAAGTGGTCTGACAATTCTTCCACTTAAATATTACCTGTCTTTTGACTTGCCATTGAAATGTGCCACAAACGCAGAAGTACTTGCCCTGATGTATTTCCCAGTAATCTTAATTTTTTGTGTTTCACCTGCCCTAAAAAGCTTGAGGAAAAAAGAAGAGTAAAACATCAGTTGTGCTTTAGGTGAAGGCAAATAACTGAATTATGTTCATTGTATTGCAAGCTTAGTACTACCACTGTAAGCAAACTTCATTTCAGTCCACTTTAAATAATAAGCACATAGTGCTCCCCCCACTTTTTAGTTTTAGTCTTCAAGACTGAACTGATTCGAAGTCACTTGTCAGAGTTCTTGAAAATAAGGGTGCTGTAATGCTTGATGGGCAGCAATTCTCTCATCAGGATCATATTTTATCATTGCATACAGGAGAGAGAAGCCTTTGGGAGGCAAACTGCAGGAGGTATTCCTTTTCCTTTTTTAAAGGAGAAACCAAACCTTGCAATTCTTGACCTGTGTTAAGGAAGTTGAGAGCAAACAGTTATTCATTCATATTCAGAGAGCATTACATTACTGGAAAAAAAAAAATTCTCATCTGATTTAGGTAATCATTTATTAAGGATATGTGTGTAATAACTGGGGGGGGGGGAGGGGGAGGGCGAGGAAATGTTTTCTCTCCTAACATGTTATTGGCCTTAAAGATGATACAGGCTTAGATTTCTTCTGCTCTATCTACAAGCAGCATGAATGCGATGATCTCTGGGTAGGGATAGAGGACACCGCTCTTCAGTGTCCCAGTGGAGTTAGATTAGCATGGTGGTTCCCTGAGCAGAAATTGCAGATGTACAGTCATACAGCGGATATTTAAACAGTGAGATTAATAACTAAGGAGGCGCATACTTACTGCCTGAACTTGTGGAGAGCTTTGTTAGCCAGAATGCCTGTAACATCATGGACTTTTGAAATTTGGTCCAGCTCATTAGATCCAGGAAAGAGAGGCTGAAAACTGCAAGGTAAGAGACGGTATTAGCACTAGATAATCATAGAATACTTTGAGTTGGAAAGGACATTACAGATAATCCAGTTCCAACCCACTGTCATGGGCAGGGACACCTGCCACTAGACCAGGTTGCTCAAAGCCCCATCCAGCCTGGCCTTGAACACTTCCATGGATGGGGCAGCCACAGCTTCTCTGGGCAACCTGTGTCAGCGCCTCACCATGCTCACACTAAACAGTTTCTTCCCAATACCTAATCTAAATCTCCCTCTGTCATCTTAAAGCCATTCCCACTTGTCCTATCACTACATGCACTTTTAAAAGGTCTCTCTCAAGCTTTCTTGTGAGCCCCCTTTATGTACTTGACAGCTGCTAGAAGGTCTCCCTAGAGCCTTCTCTTCTTCAGGCTGCACAAGCCCAACTCCCTCAGCCTGTCTTCATAGGAGAGGTGCTCCAGCCCTCTGATGATCTTTGTGGCCCTCCTCTAGACCCACTCTAACAGATCCACATCCCTCTTGTGTTGAGAGCCCCAGAGCTGAATGCAGTACTGCAGGTGGGGTCTCATCAGAGCAGAGCAGAGGGAGAGAATCCCCTCTTTGGCTTTCTGGCTTTTTTCACCTTGGTTGGTTTTCTCGGCTGTGAGCACACACTGCCGGGTCATGTTTTATTTCTTGTCAACCAACACCCCAGAGTCCTGCTCAGGGCTGCTCTCAATCTGTTCTCTGCCCAGCCTGTATTTGTGTTTAGGATTGCCCTGACCAAGGTGCAGGACCTTGACCTTGGTCTTGTTGAACTTCATGAGAAGACACAATTAAAATAATTAAAAGTGGCACAACTGCCACTTTGGTTAAAAATAATTCATTTATGTGGTAGATACATTTTAGAATTATTCATTTGTGGATAGTTAAATACCAACCAACAGCTGAAGGATAATGTAAGCAGCAGATTCATACAATTGCATGTCTGGATGGAAAGATGCGTCACTGAACAGAAACCTGTAGCTGCCCTCTCCTCACAGGTTTGAGATAAAATACATAAAGAGAACACTGCCTGGTGAAAGGCAATAGATATGGGATTGTGTTTTCTTCTAGTGAAGTGGCAGATCCCAGAAAAAGATGTTTTTTCCTCATTGCAAGACAGCAGAGTCAAGCAGTCTTTCTTGCCGTGTTTATACACAGAAATACGTATTTGTAAGAAACATTCCATTCCTAACACACAGGTTCTTTGCAAGCTGCAGTACTTGAAAGATGGCAATTTGAACTGCACTCCTGAGCTTCATTCTCAGTTAATACAAAACTTGCACAGAGTCCTTGAAAACACTGTTATCACAATAAAGCAATCTGACGTAACAAGTTAGGTCCACTAACATTTGTTTCTTGTACATGTTGCTTTTTCCCGTATCAGCAGAACACTGCCTTGGACTTACAATTGAAGAAACACTTCAGTATCACCACATGATCCTTGAAAGGAAAACACTGCCCTCTTTGTAGATGGGAAACTTCTTTTAACTGTTTGTAAATTCAATCAAACAGCTGGTTGCACACTTCTCTGAATGTCTTCATAAAACTTTGAGTAGAGGAACAAAAGGGATCCGATTCATGTTCTGTAGCTACATCAAGACAAGCAGTTGGTAGTTTTTGTGCGAACTACCAAATGTAGTTTAGTTCTGCTAAATGCAAACCTGTAACACAGTGAAGAACAACTGTGTAGTCCACCAAAAAAAAAAATGTAATTCAGGAATCATGATTTATAAGGAGCAAATGGAGACCATGATTTAAAAATCAGGTAAGCACAGCTGCAAAAAAGACTAAAAATTCTTACACAATGTGGTGTGAAACATAAAGGCTTTCACAAAACATTCAACAGCAGAACTGCAAAATGCATTTAAAAACAAACCAACATGTCCATAGCTTCCTTTAGCTTGGCAAGATTCTGAATTGGTAATTCCCAGTTAACATCCCTCATTTCTCTCTGAGCACATCTGTCAGGTCTCTGTACATATGCAGTGGTTGCAAAGAATGAAACTGCTACATTAAGCTAAAATTACATGGAAATATCTTTGAGGTTTTTTGCCCTAAGAAAACTCAAGTTTGTGGTGTGTAATTTTCTTGCTAAACTTCAAAGCCCACCTGATTCAAACAGAAATGGAAATCCACGGCATTTTTAAAGATTTTGATCCCATTACACTGCAAGAGAACTGCCACATTTAGGATTTTTTTGGTTAACAGTTTTCTGACCGAGGTAGAGCTGTTTCTACAAGTTAGCAGGCAAAGCATAAGGGTTGTCATTTAATGCAATGGTGATGGCAGCAGCTGCACTTGCCATGTGGAGGAGGAGGAAAGAAGGAAAGCAAATGTTACCACTCCTGGTTGCATATCAGAGACAGCAGCGTGGGAAGAGAATAAAGAACTGCTGCTGTTGCTAGGGTACAAAGATAGTGGAAATAGTCATGGTGGTGATTTTACCTTTTTAATTGAGGACTAGTGATGATTTTTTTGAGTTACAGTTTCATCATCATCCAAAAGCTTAAAGCACTCTGTGTTTTCCTGATCTCTTGCTTCATTGGAATCTGACTTCAGAATACTCCAGGACATCAGGTCCTGGTACAAGGGTCTTAAACACACTGTATTATAAATCAAAGTAGTAAATCAGAGGAAAAAACTCTACCATCAAGTGCTTTAACAAGATTGAGAATAGTTAGTGATGCTCATGAGAGGAGATGAACCATACATTTATTCAGAGATAAGGCAGAGAAAATCCATTTTTACCAAACTCAAATATGAGGCCAAGGGGGTGGGGGGGGGGGGGGGGGGAGAAAAAAACGTGGAAAAACAAACAACAAAACAATCAGCTGCTCAAAAATGTTGTTTTCCTTGTAAATAGTTTTTGTTGGTATTAAGTTTTCTTGAACATCCCACTGCTTTATTACTAGCCTGCCATAGGGTGAAGAGTGCCAGAGAAGGCAAGATTACTGCCTCATGAACCTGCAGACTGATCCCTTCCACAAAACCCTGAAAACAAAGACCATATTACCCATAGCACTTGCTCGTGATTTATTTACCTTTGATTCTCTTCATTAATAATAAAACGCTCCACTGAACACTGTACCTTGTAATTTCATAGAAAACACAGCCAGCACATCACATACCAATTTTGCAACTGTAGTTGCCACTTGTTAGTAAGCTGTAGTAACTGTAGTAACCACTTGTTAGTAAGCATTCATTTGTTCTGTACCAGCATGTGGAGATGATTCTGTATGTGGCTGCTTAGAACAGATACTCCTACAAGATCCAAAATCTCCTAACATCAGGGTATTTTGATGTTAGGATACAAAAATAAAGTATTTTGACAAATTAGAAACACTGAAATATTCAAGCAAAGATTTCCTTTAAATGTGTGAAGTAGTTATTATAAAAGAAATCACAGGTTACTTTAAGAATAAACTTTCAGAAATCCCCAGAGTAGCAGTAAAACTGCATTTAAATAGCAAGTAAGTCCAGGCTTGAAGTCTCTGTGTCCCACAGTATGTGCAAATACCCCCTGTACATCATTAGAGAAGGACCTAAGAGTTAATAAACATATGGTCTATTACTGAGGGGAAGGCTGGACTGTTATTTTCTGAGGGTCCTTGTGTTTAGCAGTGATATAACAGGTGGCTTTGGGTCCTCTTTGTAATGGCTTCTCCTGTACACCTTTAAGACCTACAACAAAAATTTATGTCCAGAAAATCAAATCCCATAAACTGAATTTTTAAATCCTTTCTTGTCAGATATTAGCAAAATAACATTCTGAAACTATCAGGAGAATAGATTTCAATGAAGAAATCTTCTGAAAGCTGATACCTTCTGCTTTATTTGTATAACTTCCACTAAATGTAGGAATTGAATGTAGAAAGATTGAGCTGCAGAACTGAACCCTATTGCTTGTTCCTAGGTTAACACAGAAAGGAAGATACATATTAATAAATTACAGAGAACAGATTTTTAGATTAGAGTGAGTACATGCAGGCTGTAATGCATCTGACTGATTTCAGATTTTAGCCAGTAACAAACTTCCTGTTCATTCCTTTGGATCAGGAATATGGTATTAGAGATAACTGCCTATATATTTTTTAAAACCTGTGCTTTTATTCATGAGGAAGCATTACCTTCTCAAAAGATAAAGATACTGATACACTCCACTTGTAGTTAAATATTCTCATATAAAATGGATTACCATTATTAATGTTTTCTGGTTTCACATCGCTGTGAAATATCGCATTTCCGTACCAATATAAACACATCAGAGAAAACAGTTCAATAAAAAGAGATACATTATCAGTGCTTCCAGTTATTTGTAAAAACCAAACAAAATACCCTTTTGAAGAAACTAACACTTTCTTCAAACAGCATAGCAAAAAAAAAAAAAAGGGATTTTGCCACCATAGTGAGACAACGGCTCCAGGTATGGGAGTCGGGAAAGGGCAAGCCCAGGAAGGAGAGGCCAGGCTTTTTTTTGCTTTTGCTCTCACCAGCGTTACCAGAGGTTGCAAGGGCCTCCCGCTCCCAGAGGGCTTCCTGCAGCAGGTTACCAGAGCTCCTCTGGGGAGCTGGTGGCCGCATGGGCTGCTCACTTGCTGCCCCAAGGCTCTGCTATAGGCAAAGATGCATCTGTGCAACAGCCCAGGGGCCCAGGCAACTCTAAGTCTCTGCTTAGAGATGACTCCAGAATAAATGTATGATACATTTACTGTAAAGCTGCTGTTGAACCAAGTTTCTTACCTATGTATACAATCGAGATTTGTATAACTAGTACATGGAGTTCTTAACTTTTTTTTTCAGGTAATGGCTTTCTTCCTAGAATTAAAATTTCAAGTTGTACAAGTCCTTTTTAGCAAACAACAGAATAAAACCCAATTACTCTTCAGCTTCCAGCAGTGCATCAGTATTACCTTTTCCAATTATACTGCTTCCATCACTTACTGGTAGCTTTACAATCCATTTCCACTCAACCTCAGACAATTTAGATTTCAGCATGTACTAGAATAGCTCAGCTGTCAATTCAGTAGTATGTAATCTGCCTTTGCTTTTACTGCATGTTTTTCCTGCAGTATCTGTTTCCTCAAGTTCTAACAGAACTGCAGTATTTCACTTCTAAACATCTAATTTCCTCTCTAAATAAAATAACTGCCCTTAAGGTTCAAGATTCGTATCAATCACCTCACATTACTGCAGTACTTAAATGAGCGATTCACATTTGACTTGCAAATTAAAGGTTAACCTATGTAGTTTAGCCTGCCATTACTGTTGCACAATAATGACTGTTACAAAATTTATCTGTTTTTCAAGAGCTATTCAGTAACTACTCAGCTTTTTTGTTTATAGGCTCCACAGGCCTTTTAATCTTGCTATAATGCCTTTATGTAACGCTGCAATGTCATCAAGGGAGGCAGAAATGATCACATTTTTGAAAAACAAAGCAGGTACTGATCTGCCTGATGACAGCAGTATGAGTAATTGGCTAGGGAGGAGGAGGAGGGAGATTATCAGGACACTAACTCATTGAGGCTGCAAGTCCTAGCAGCCAACAGGACTTGTGTTCCTAACTGATTACAGTACTCCTCCAGTCAGCCACATAATCCACTGAGCAGGATTAGATAACAAAGCACTTGAAACAGAGCACCACTGACATAGGGAACTGTGGTATTATTACCCCAGTAGAGATCAACGATGTTTTGAACACCAGGATTTTTGTTATTTATGGTAGAAAAGTTTTATTTTATAAAATGCAGGTATTCAAACCAACTTGGATCATTATTAGTATTTAAGAAATCAGGCCTTCATAACAAAAAGTCATGCTCAATTGTTTTTTCATTACAGATCACCAATAAAATCTGGAGCAGATGTTCTTCTACTTCCAGATTTATCATTAGAGAAACCCCATTTGGAAGTAATGATGAAGCGAATCATAACACTTGAGGCTGCAATCATTTTTGCTTTAGGCATCTTCCCCACCTCTCTCTGAGACATAGTTTTTTCATCACTTTATATGTCTGAACTGTTCTTGACTAAACAAAAGACAAGTCCATTTTTCAGGATTTAAATGACTTGTGATACCAATATTAATAATTAATAGAATTATGACTTTGTAAGACAAATAGCTTTGTATTGATCAAAATAATGTGAATCTGTCAGTTTATTAAGGAAAACACCAAAAAAGATCAACTTTCCACATTCGTAGCATTACAGTGAACTGTTTCCATAATTACAGAAGTGTCTCCATACACCTTGTTAAATTAGAAATTCCTTTTCAGTCAACCCCTGCTTCAAGAATTTTGTCTAACTTAACGCTTTATAAAATTGCTCTGCACCTCTATTAAACTTCATTTTGCAAGACAGAGAGTGGTCAGGAAATGACAGGCATTCACCTTACTACGCACTGTAGGAATTTACAAAAGACTACAAATCATCTGAAATGTAACTACTTCTATACACTCTGAAACTGGTTTTGTGACAGAGCGTCGCAAATGAACAATTTAATTGCTCTACAAATTAGTAATGCACTCCTTCAAGTCACAGCCCTGAAAAGTTAAAAGGAGCTCTTTCACTTGCCATTGCTACCGAGAAATCCTCAGTCAATACCTGGTCTGGCTCAGAATTAAGATTAATTTTTCTAATTTAATTATGTACTTGGAGTCTTTGCACTATTTATTGTTTGAGATTATTGCCATGTTACACTGCATGGCTTTGCAGCAAGCCATGAGGAGAGCTGCGTGGGGGAGAAAACAAAAACCTATTTCTGCCCCATAGGAAACTGTGGTGTCGACACGTCTACTTTGAAACTCCAAAATTCATTTCTGAAAAATGCAAAGCACTTGACACAAATTAATACTCAAAAATATCAAAATCTATTTTAATTTATTACAATCTCAAAAAGAATCTGTTTGTCATTTTCCCATTTTATCCTATGATTTTACAAGCTCTGCTCCATCTGCCACCACCCTATGCAAAGTGAAAGAAAACCACTGTATCATAGAAAAAAAATCAATCCAGACACAAAATCCAGACCATAAAAAATTAATTAGCAATTAATGGAAGTTTAGGTAGACCCAGATTAATATTCAGATAACCCCTAAGTGCAGCACTTCAATTTACAACTGAACACAGATTCACTTTGAAATGATTCCATGCCACGGAAAAGGAGGTTTTTAAGTGGTAAGAAAACAGTCATCTTATGGAAAACATGAATTTGATAAAAACTGTATTTTAAAATAAATAACAAACACAGCAAAACATACTGAAACTATGAGACTAAGTTCCATCTCTATACAATGCTTAATGTAGCAGGCTTTTTCACATGAAAAGAATAAGAGACACTGACAAATGTAAACAAAAGAGTTAAAGAAAAAACCTAAACATTCTGATTTTTCGTGACTGAACTACAGTATCCTTCCTGGAAGGAGAAGATGCTGGATTGTTTTTAATGAGGGCTCTTTCCTATATGCTATTACTCTGGCCTTCCAACTTAACAAATTTATCCTGAAAGAATGAAATGTCTTATTAAAGCCAGCAAATACTAATGTCTGCTTCAGTGATCTGCAAACAACTGTATTTTAATCTCAAATTTTATCTAGGTCAGGAACAGGGTTACTCCCTTTGTTAGAGATCTGAATGCTACTGTCACTAATGTAATGTTTGGGAGCAAGTCTTTTATCTATCCTATTACTGAATGACAGTTGTATGCTCAGTTATTTAAATGAATCTCCCAACTGTTAGGGCATTACAATTTTTTAATTATTCAGAAAAAAAAATCCTCTTTTAATACCATATTTTAAGTGCCCCTTCATTTGCGGTATCCAGCTCCTTTGGTGTCTATATGTGATCTGGTTTTAAATCAGATTTTGTTCTAAACTTTCATATAGGAACTCTCCCTTAAGTGTCATGGGCTCTAACCTGCTTTGACAAACATCTCAAGAATTTCCACATATAGGAGGCTTCAGGGAACAATGTGCTTTTATAGAGAAAACTTTCTAAAAGGCATTTTTTTTACTAGACATAAAACCTGAAAATCATTAGTTTTTCAGTAGTTTTTCAGTAGTTTTTCAAACAAATGGGAATAATTTTCATTTCACACAGGAGTGTATCACTGCACTCCTGACCGAACAAAGAACCTATTTAAGTTGGTTTTGTGGGTGTTTTTGTTTTTTGTTTTGTTTTTTTTTTTGTGTGTGTGTGTGGTTTTTTTTGTTGTTGTTGTTGTTGTTGCTTTTTGTTTGGTTTTTTTTACATAAAGCAATTATTTTCTGTTTTGCCATCAAGGTTATTTCCCTGTTTTCATGTCAAATTAGACTGTAGAAATAGATGGCCATGGGCCTGACTCCTTAGAAACATGCATGTGTCCATGCCTTAAACAAGTGCTTATATTGCACTGGAAAGAAGTGTAAAGCAGAACAACACAAAATTTCATTATGAGTTTTAAAACATGTTAACTGTGAACAACCAAGTGAAAAATAATTCATTCCACTTTGTGATCTACAAAGTGGATCTACACAAGGAGGACTTGTGTGTTTCTTAAGCATATACTACATACCTTTTATCAGCTCATAAATATTCATATCCATAAATTCACATATCAGTGAAAGGGAGCCAGCTATTTTATTACTGAAGAAACAAATAAGGAGACTTCAAGCTAGAAATAAAATGTACAAGTCAATTTGTACACAGTGTAGGAAAAAGTACATAGTTCCACCAGTATTAAAAGGGTCATTTTAATTTTTAATTGATACTTTTTCAAATAAGTTTTTCAGCTTAGCATCTGAGGTATCATAGTTTTAGTTCATACTATCCAAAGCATCCACTGCAAGAGTTAACTGATTTACTCCATGAAATTATTTGAGGCACATTTCCTGGCATATCACACTGATTAGTATCAAGAAATTTCCAGTAAACTAACTGATACAATCTTACAATAGAAGGTAGGAAAGTCATTGCACCATACATGAAAATACTTTCTAGCTATGTCACCAGTAGTGTTCTATTGCAAGCCAATGAATATCTGACTGGAATCTGTGCTTTGCTGACAACAGCAATTTTAACTTTTTACATGATATGGTAAAACCTCTGATACTTTATTTTCCACTTCGCTGCCTTGCAGATGACTTTAGGTCTTCAGTTTTTATTGCAAGATAATTGCATTAAAGTATATCCCCTTTGCAATGTTCCATTAACCCAGACAGCAAAAGGTTGAGGGTGTAATCTGCAATTCAGTTTCCAGCCAGACTGTGACAGAGCTGGGCAAGCTGGCTGGCCATCTGGATTACACCGAGTTAATAACACAGCAGCTGATGCTGAGAATTCCAGAAGCTAAACTGCTGACACCATTACTGGTTTTCCATGCATTGGTAAAACCGGGCCTGTCAATAACAGCACAGTACCAGAGCCTTGCGCAGAGGAATAAGACAGCCTGAAGAGCAAGAAAAAAATACTTTAGACTACTCAACAAGTTGCATGTCAAGTATTTGAATAATAAAGTATATGTCTGCTGTTGCATAGTGAAGTGTAACACATGCTGTAATGGAGCAACTGCTGTCATAAAACCTGATCTCTCTGTGAGACAGAACATGTCCCCAGAAGACGCTTAAGTGCCTAATGAGGCTACAGAGCTCAACTTTAGCACTGACCTCATTCCAGATTCACAGCTCAGTGCTGCCTAATTCAGAGACCTAAACTTCTGTTATTTGTAAAGGGGTATCTGTAAAGTTGCCTATGAAATGATACTGCCAAATAAGTTGTCTTGATCCCTAGTTTAAACTGGGAAGTCAAACCAAGATCCCCGAAACCAGAGCCTATTCCAGCAGATCCGCTCTGAGTGTGTCTAACCAAACTCCAGCCTCCAGCAGACATGATGTTGTGCAGTTATATCACTCACTGGACATGGGTTGAAATCATCAGCAAGTATTACATATTATGACATGAAGTTTAGCTATGCTTAAAATATATCTACTGTGTAATTTGAATAATGATCTTGAAATATTTTTGGTCTGCTGCAAGAAAGCCGTAGAAAATGACATCTACATTAGATTTTCTTATAAAAATGACACAAAGACTTTAGACTTTGTTTTTTGTTTTGTGTTTGGGTTTTTTTTAAATCTCTCAATATATAATAATAATAATAATAAATAAAAACCTGCTTAAGTTCCTACAGGTTGCCTCTAGACTCCAAAGTTACTGGATATGATTCAAATAAAGAAGTAAGAAATTAATGCACCATAGTTACAAAACAACTTCATGTAACATAAGGCTATTGGCATGTGGACAAGCCTCCTTAGTACTTGTATTTGCCTCCAATTATTCACCTGGTCCATACAGAAGTTGAATTAAAAAGCAAAAAGGAAGGCTGACTTGCAGTCAGGGACTGGATTATAATTGTTGTTCTTCCTTGCCATGAGACTGTCAGAACCTTCTGCACTTTAGTCTGCAACTGAACTTTCAAATGCAGGACCTGATAAATTGTTTGCCTGCTTTGTTTCTTTATGGAGCATATCAGTGATCAGTAAACAGCTTTATTCCTTCTTGCAGCATGGAGTAGCCAGACTTACCCAAATAGGGTAAGTACTAATATGTTGTGCCCCAGGTATCAGCTCAGTGCCAAGGAGCTATCTAGGAGGAATTTTGTGTTGCATAACAGCAAGTATGATACTGTTTATTCTGCACTGGTATAGTATACATTTCAACTACTGCTCAGCACCATGCTGAAAATGACGATTTAGCCTTGCCAAACTTAACGTTTAAAATTAAGTTTTGATGGTAATATCTTAAATGAAAAAAGGCACCATTCTACTGTTGTTTAATTATTATGTTGCCCTCCTATAACAAACAATGAACCTACATGCTACAGAAACTCCAAGGAGGCAGCAGAGAACAGAGAGCTTTGCACACTATTAAATGGATCAGACCAGGACACAAACACCTTTTCACAGTCACACTTAAAAGGTAAACACCAAAACAAAATTTTCCAATTTGAAACTAGAAGAAATACCTTCTATGGAGAGGTTCTGTTTAGAACATTGTTGCTAAAAGAGTTCATTTCATCAAAAGAATATGCCAGCCAATTTATTAAAAGCCTAAAAGATGTTTTAAATATAAAAAAGTATGTTTGTTATGTCCTACCACTGAATTATATACCATTTGCCCTTGACATAATTAAGCAGTTATTTTAAATACCCTTCTGATCATAAATTGGACAACTTGGTCAGATGTAGGTAACATATAAATGAACCAACAGTGCTCTAACAACACAACAGAAAATCAGAAGCCGCATTACTTGAAGATATTTGAGTTCTCTCTCTCCCTGTGTTTTATTTTTAACTTACAATCTTTGAAGCTCTGAGTTACATTGTGAAATCTCACTCAAGAGCAAAATATCCTATTTTACTTTACCACATACAAATGTGCCACTCCCAGTGACTTCATTAGGAACTTAATATGTTTAACTGAGAATACAAAGTCAGTGATCCAAAAGGCATTGTTTGGCACTTACATATCTGTAGGAGAATGTCAAGTCCATGTCTAATTCCACAAATCCGTTACTTCTCTTTTCCTAACCAATAAAAAGCACCTATTTTGTGACCATATAACATCTTACTGATGGATGTGATTAAATACGTATGCAAATATGAAATAGAACAGATGCTATACATGGACTAAGGATAAATACAGTGGTCTTAATCTGCATTGAAAAGGTAATTAAAGTAAGACTGAAAAAGTACTGTCCCAAGGGAGGACTGACACATTTCCTCAAAACCAGCACAAGTATACTCAGTGCATTTGGAAAGGCAGAAATTATTTAGTCCTCATTCTTATTTCACCCTCAACCCAGTGATGAGGCAGCATTTAATATGGTGGATGACATCAGTTATTCAAGGAAATGACCCCAATGCCAAATGGGAAGGCTCTGCACCACCAGCAGCAGTGTTTCCTTCCTGCACTACATGCAAACTGTTTTACATACATATATATTCAAAAAGTTTCACTTAGTCAAAATTTCACATTTCCCCACCAAATTTAAATAAGATTTTCTGTAGTAACATGATGAATTATGCACATCTTTCAAATGGTGGCTTCATGCCTTTACATAGTACTTTCTATCCTAACTCAAGTGTTTTCAGAACATCAGAGAAGTTCCTTCTTCTGTATTACCAATTTGTTTATATTCTAAAACCAAAAATGTGCTGTTTCAGTATGTTTAAAATGGAAGTTATTATGAAGACTGCCTATCAATCCATACTTGATTTATTAAATTCTGACTAATGGAAAACTTCTAAATAAAGGGTTTTTTTTTTTTTTTTTGTTAACATATTATTTGAGAGAAAATACAGTGAAAAACAACAATGGAAGTTGTACTGCCCATCTTACAGAAATCTGTATTCCTGAAAGTAAAATCCAGTACTTCTGTCTTAGACAATAAACTACCTCCTCACCCAGACACGATGCCTCTGCACACAGCATTTTATACTTTTTTCTGCTGCAGCACATCAGCAACTCCTACCTGAACTTATTCTTTGCTTTGTTCACCCCAAAAAACCCCAAACCCTTTACTTAGATTGTACTTGAAAAGCAAGTGTACCTTGTCACTGTCCCACCATGGGTCTTTTTTTCTGTTGTTTTGGGTTGAGTGATTTTAGGGGGTTGTGGTTTTTGTTTGTTTGTTTTGTTTGGTGGGGAATTATATATATTATTTTTTTTTCAGCAAAGCAGTTCCTGATTTTAAAATTTTATTCCCATATTAAATTCAGATATGAATTATTGCACTAGGCCAAAAATAATGCTTGGCTTTGATAACAAAGTGCACCAAACAGAAGAATGTGAAAATTGGTCAATTCTAGATGTGCAGAACTTTAAGAGATGAAGCAGGTAACATAAGTGTTATGAAGAAAGCTTTTTTTATATTAATTTCTGAGTCTTGTCCTAATTTCCTTCAGAATTGATGTTTCTTTTCTTTTCTCCTCTATTCTCCTGCAGCTTTGTGATTAACTGTTCCTTACCACTCCCAGTGCCTGGTTCCCTTTATTTTTAGCACTTACAGATTCTATCCTTCATAATTCTTCCAGTAATTCCATCTGAGCAAAATCCTATGCTGGTTAGCTTTATGCTGCTCTTGCTTCTGACACAGTGTTATTATTTAAGAAAGATTGAAAGTAGTCATTTTAAGTGAGGCAGAGTACAAAACCTCTTTTATCATATTCAACCTTTTATGGGAGTCAGAATAACCATTGGAGTCTTAATCTATATCAACAGCAGTGAAATCATTGAAGTGTAGTTATCTGTACTAGTTACTGTGACAACAGTCCCTGGCATGGCTTTGGCCTGTGACAACCACAACCACTACTCTCTGAGGCACCTTCCCAGCCTGATGTGAGGACTCCTTCTAAGGTCATTTTTCAAGCAGTTTCTGTTCTACTGCCTTGTTTTGGAAGATAAGAGAATTTGTTAGCATAGATGTGGGCCATTTTATGTCAGTTGCACTTTGTGTCCAAGAAGATTTCCAGATATGTTTAATTTACAAGTATAAATACAGCCTCACAGTGCAGAAAGCCTGCCAAGGAATTTTGTGGAGGGAAAAGTTACTTAGGCAGGGACATTCTAACGCTGGCTTCCCACTAGCAATCAATTTGTGTTGTCTTCATTTCTTTTCCCCTCCCCAACTTTCACACTCATGTAAAAAAATGCTTATATTTTAATTAGCAAAACCTTCCCCTTGAAAATTTCACCAATACAGCAGCAGAGCAGGACTTCTGTGAGTATTGTCAGTTGCTCTTCTAATTTTTATCACATGCTGCTTCAGTTTTCTACAATCACCTATCATCCTGGATCATTATCTAATTAGGCCATCTACATCTGGAAAATAGGAAAAAACAGAGCAATTTAAACTCAATGATTCCATCTAATGCACTGTATACAGGCAGTTTACATGTAGAACTATTACAGAAGCAGAATCAGAATTTGAAAATCATTATGGATAAGCAGGCAATCTCTAACAGACTCCAAAATAGGGAAGAGAACATGAGACTGTTTAATTCATGTGGCTGTTACTTGATAACTGGTCAATCAGTGCCTTAAGAAAGGTGATCCCCAGCCTTCAGCATTCACCAAGCAAGGTGACTGAGCAAGTAACACACTTTGTCAGCAGACATCACAGTTTGCACGATTATTCTACCCTACATCAGGTTTTGATTTCCTATGTAAATAGCTAAATGTAAGGTGAATATCATAACTCAGTGTTGTGGTTTAAAACCAGTCAGGCAACTTGCTAACTCACTCCCCCCCCTTCTTGCCCTCCCCCTACTCCCGGAGGGAAGGAGAGGAGAATCGAAAAGAATGCAACTCCCACAGGTTCTTAGTTTAGTAACTAAGGTATAACACAAATCACTACTGCTACCACCAATAATAATAATGATAAAGGAAATAACAAGGGAAGAGAATACAACACCTCAGCACCAGCCAACCAATAACTTGTCCCCCACCCCAGCCCAACCAAGCACCAACCGATACCTCCTCCAACCCTCCAGTCCTTGCCCTTCTGGGTAACTCTCAGTTACCTCCTGGGCATGACCTGCTGTGGTATGGAATACCCCTTTGGTCAGTTTGGGTCAGGTGTCCTGTCTCTGCTTCCTCCCGGCTTCCCCTCCTCCCTGGCAGAGCATGAGGCTCACAAAGTCCTTGGCCAGACCAAAACATCAGTGTTATCAGCTCTGTTGCCAGGCCAAAAGTCACAGCACTGAGCCAGCTACCAAGGAGAAAAATGACTGCTACTGCTGAACCCAGCACACAGCATATTTAAATACCACTCTTTCAGAATCCCAAAGAAAAAGTCTCAACAGATTTTTTGGTAGCAACTAATACTCTCCAGTCAGTCAGATACATGGTAAGTTACATGTTCATGTAATGTCAGAGCAAGTCGCTGTGGCAAAAAATTCCCAAGGCAGATACAAAAAAAAAGTTTTGGCTATTTGTTGACCTACACGTTGATTCCAACAAATGGCAGCCCCATAACGTTATTTTCTTAAATGCAAGTGATTGATTCTCTGGCAAAAAAAAAATTCATAAAAATCTTATTATCTGAAAATTAAGATCTTAGTAGCTATATATACACCAGGCATAGGTCTTAATGAAGCCAAGTATTTAGGCAGAGAAACACAGGAAAAGCATTACTGTACAAATGTCTTGAAAATATTTTTAGATCCATAAAGAAGTCAGTATATGTTTATATAATTTAGTTTTGTTTGTATATTCTTCTATACACGTATTTTGCTCCTATAAGAGAAGTCCCGATGACAGTTCAAAAGAATTTGGTTTTGTTTTAATTTTTAAACTGAAGAGTTCTAATAGCCTCAGAAGAACTAATTCTTTATATACTTTAACACATACTTGCAGCACTAAAGATTTTTTCATATAAGCATGTAAGGTTTGTGTTTTATTCTTTTACAATACAGTGCTATATATCCAAAATAAAACTCATAACAAACACTTGAGGCTTTAACCTGGCACTTAAGAGAAAGCCATTCAGTGAAAAGAATGACAGCAAGGACCTGAATAATTTGAACTGACTGAATAAGGAAGACTCAAGAATGAAAGTCACATTGTTTGAAATGTCTCTATGATGCAGAAAATGAACGTGTAAACTCTCAACAAAACAAGTTACTGAAGATGAGAAAGCCTTACCCTAAGGTGAAAATGAGATCAACCATGTGATAAGTTAGTTATTGTTTAATGAGAAGCTGAAAGATTGTTAGAAATAATAACAATTTATATAGAATAAGAAGTAAAATTTAGACTCCAAATTTACTAACAATCCAATACAAATTTTTGATGTGTACCACAAGCCACAATTTCTGGGGATTCTTAAAAATCCACTTCAGGGCCACATAACTGGTCCTTCGAGAGTGACCAGGTGACAAAAACCCCACCAGAACAACACACACTGAAAGAGAACAAGCAGGCCAAAGCCTGTCAATATTAAGCTATGAAACTTACTACAGCTACAAACATTAACTAATTACTGGTTAGTTTACCCAAATTTGTGGTATTCAAAGCTGAAGAATAGCAGAAATGTTAAAAAGTTTATCAGCATTTTAAAACTGAAAGCTTTGGGGCTGAAATTAAATAAACAGGGATTTAATCAGGCTTGCACATAACATTAAAGAATAAAGAACACCTAATCACTCGTTAGCAATTCTTTCATGGCATCTGTAACAAGCTAAGTATTACCTAACCTCTTCCCTCCTCTCTGTTTCAGCACACAGATGTTCAGGCTTACAATGGATAGCAAGAAGGCAGATGAAGGTTAGAAAGAGTAAGTTGTAGCAATCTGAACTTGTTCCAACACCAAAAAAGTGCCCATGATAACGTAAGGCCAGTTGAAAGTGCCAGAGGCTACAGGACCCAGGAAATTAAGAACAACATAAATTAAAATTATAGACAAGTGATGGCATTCAAGCACCACACCTGTATTACTGCAACTAGAGACCACAGAAAATCAATCATCATTTGGAATTAAAGAATCTAAGAATCCAGTACAGAGTGACAGCAAAGATAGCACTACAACACTTGTATTATAAAAACCCAAACCAGATAATTTTGTTGCAAAGATGGTAAAACGTTGAGGAAGAAAATGTTGTTACCTTTAAATGTGACTTTGCTGCATGTGAGAAAAGAGAAACAGCAAAAGAAAAAAAAAAAGAAGAAAGCAACAAGAAGTTCAGCTTCATGAGTTCAGTCATGAGGCCATGACACATGATCATTGCATTCAGAAACATGCCAAACGTGTAGGACGTGAAATGGGATGATCTGAAGAGGGATGCTACATAATGGAAGGAAAAGCTTGCTGAACAAAGAATGAGAAAACTTAGAAATTTCTGAGAAAGTACTTAAGAGGGACCAGAAGACCAAAAGGCTACAGCTTCACGGGAGACAGGTTTCTGAGCACCCTGCTGAAGAGGAAGACCGGCACAGAGACCGGCGTTTACATGTGCGGTCACAGCAGGGGGATCTAGAAGATGGCAACGGGCTGCAAGTGCCTACACCTCAGCCCGGGTGCTCCTCGCGCCGCCCGGGACCCCGGTCCCCTGGGGCCACTGTCACCGGTAACCGCCGGCCTCCTCAGCTGTGCCCCTCATACAAGCCAGCGGCATCCGCACCCGCCACTTCCCCCGCACCCCCTTACTTTTCGTCCTGCGCTCTCCTGCAGGTCTCGGGTGAGAGAAAGCTCAGCGGAGCCCCTCCCGACCGCAGCACAGCGCCCAAGCCAGCACGGCCTCAGTACGCCATGTTGTGTTCCCGTCACCCTGGCAACCGCGCAGACTCCGGCTCCGCGCCCCGGACGCCGGTCCCGCCCCCGCGGATAACGTCACAACCCCCTCGCTACGGCACGCTGATCCACGCAGGCGCAGTGCAACGGCCCTGCCGCCGCCGAGCGAGGTGGCACAGGCCCAGTGGGCACTAAGCAGTGCCGGCCGCCTGTACTGCCCCGCTTCCCACTGGCTGCGTGCACCGCGCATGCGCCGCTGGCGGGTACCTGAGCCGGTGGGGGTATGTGCAGCGCCGCTGCTCGGTGGGTGGTAGCTGGCTGGTGCTGCCGCCTTGCCGCGGCACTTCGACCTTCTCGTGTTCCATTCTTGTGTGGAGCGGTACTTCTCCGCGCCCCGCTGGCCTGTCTTGGGGCGGTGGAGTTGAGCCTTCCATTGATAAAGGGACCGGTGTGTGCAGGCCCCGGTCCCTGCCGAGCAGTGCTCCAACGGCGACATCAGTGTCCCGGGCTTGTGCAAGCGGTAGGTCTGCGCAGCGCCCAGACGAGCTCGGGCTTAACTGGGGTAATGTGCTGATCCCTGGTGGTTTCACCGCGTCGCTGCAGGCGCGGCGGTTCAGGCTTTGTCGGGGACCGCCATGTGAACCAGCAGCTGCCAGCTTGTACGGGACGTGCTTTTGGGAGAGGAGGGTCCGTACTAACCGTGTTCCCCGCTCAGACCTGCGGTGGGCCGATCTCCAAATCTGCATTTTGGAGAGGGGTCCTCACCTGCCTTTCATGCCGCCTGCCTTTGCTAAACGGACACAGTATATTTTAATGTAGGCTTCACAGCTGAGAAGAAAAGTCCTTTAAATGTGCGTACGCAGCCCAAAGCAAAATACTAGGAAAAGGTGAATCATTTCTGCACTCAAACCAAGATCCTAACAGTGTGCTAAATAGCCAGAAGAGTAAATGGTTTAAAATAGATGTAAAAAAAAAAAATTAAACTGGAATCGTAACCTAGAAAATCCAGGAAGCATTAGCCTATTGACTTGGAGCGGCAGCGAACACCGTGAACATGTCTTGTGTGGCGGTGCGGCTCTGCAGAGGGTCAGTCCGAGGTGTCGGCTCCGGCGCTCTCGTGCCAAACATGTCCACCTCGTCAACACTCTCGACAGGATAGGCTGTGCCCCCGGTGTCCTCTTACTTAGCAGCAGCAGCAAAACGCCCGGCTATCGGCGGGCCGGTTAGCTCAGTTGGTTAGAGCGTGGTGCTAATAACGCCAAGGTCGCGGGTTCGATCCCCGTACGGGCCAAAAAGCCAGCCAACATTTTTTTCGCTCTCACTATGTAGCCGCGTCTCGTAGCTGCCCGCTATGAGGTGCGCCTTTGCCCCTGCACCAGGACGCGGCCGCGGTGCGCCGGGTGGGTACGGAGAGACGGGGAAAGACCCTCACACAGCATGGGCCTCGCTCCATCGAGCGGCTGTCGGAGCCCGGGCCGGCAACGGCAGAGCGGGCGTACGTTTCTTCTGCACGTAGGATAACGCGCTCGTAGGATAAGACCGAGTCTCGGGGTGAAGATATCGTCTTACGAGGAAAACGAGCCCGCGCTACCAGCTGATTCGTACCATCCCGGCGTCCCACCACCACCCTCGCCCCGCCCGCCGCACCTATGGAGGTTTTTGCTACCGAGAGGCCGCCGTTGGTGTCGGGCGGCCCCCCAGGGGCGCGGCTGTCTCTGCCGGGTGCGCCATTGGCCCGCGTGCCACCGGTGCCCCGCGCTTTGCCTCGCGTCGCCGAGATTTCCCGGGGTACTGATCCCGCCCGCTGACGCCTGCCAAGATGGCGGCACCTGAGGAGGGGGACACCGAGGCTCCACCACCACCTCCTCCTCCCGCTGAGGACAAGCCTCCCGGGGAGGCGTCTACAGCCTGCGGGGCTCCCCTCAGCGTGGCGGCGGCGGAGGAGGAGGAGGATGGCAGAGCCGCGGTGGGGCCTGCCAACCTCCCGCTTTCTGCGGAGGGCCCAGAGCTGCTGGCGACACCGGGGGAGCTGGCGCAGAGCTTGGCAGCCGTGGAAGCCGGATCGGCGGCGGCCGGCACCGTTCTGTACGTGCAGGAGGACGGGAGCGTGGTGGAGGGTGAGAGGCTGAGCGCCGTGGAGGTGCGGCTGCTGCTGGAGCAGCTGCTGTCTGCTGCCGAGAGCCCGGGGCCGGGCACGTCGGAACCGCCGCCTCCTCGGCACGCCGCCACGCCGCTGGCCCCCGCGGAGGTCCAGCGGGTCATCGAGCAGGTGAGCAAGGCCCAGGAGAAGCAGAAGCTGCCGCCAGCTGCTCCGCCGGAGCCCTGCCTGGGGCCGCCCCCGCCGCTGGCCAGCATCATGCACAACGCCGCCCAGCAGCTGCGGAGCGTTGCCCAGCAGATCGCCAGGCAGCAGGGCGGTTCCGTGGCCGCCACTCGGCTCCTCCCGCAGAAGGTAACCGGGGCTGGGAAGGGAAGGGAGCCTGCGGCTCCCGGGAGGTGATGAAATCCACTGCCGAGGGCAGGCGTCGGGGGGGAGGTTAATGTGGTTTTGAGAGTTTTTTCCGTTCTCCTCGGTCACACCTGCCCTCGGGTGCAGACTGGAGTCTCACAGCTGGAAGACACAACTTTAAGTGTGGTTTAGAAAAATCCGCGTTTGAATGTAAATACTTGCTGCTGTGGTGTTTCGATCTGAATACACGTGCAGCTAAAACAGGTTAGAAGAGCTGTTTCATAGTGGTTAAGTGATGATGCACAGGCAGAGAATGCATCCTCCTCTAACGGAAGACGATAGTACCTGGGCTTTCAGTCCACGTTTTGGGGTGCAGGGGTTGTCAAGCAGTTGATTCAAGCTGAGGCAAAAATTTGAATGAGGAGGAGAGACTGAGGGAGATGATCGGTAACACATACTCCTCCTTAATCATCATTACAAAGTTTTGTTTTTTTTTAACTGAGCACTTACGGTATGTTCTGGACCTGGTACTGGGCCTGTGTCATAAATGACTATGTGTCATGTAGCATACTGTCGTTCTCCCGCGTTTGGTTTGCTGAAGGTTATGAATCTGCCTGGGTTATGATGCTGATTGTGCTGTTCCAGAACAAGCCTGTCAGCAGGAAACAAGGCTGTGACATGGCCTGAGAGCAAGCTTCACATGCTTAGTTTAACAGCAGCCACAACAGTAAATGTGCAGGAAAGCCTGTAGCTTGAAGGGAATCTGTGCTTTGATGCATTAAAATGGGAAACTAATGATGGGCATTGCTTTCTTCGTGCCCTTTGCTTTAAGGACATGTAAGGTGTGTATCAGTCACCTTGATAGTATTGTCTTTATTTATAACTGCTTTATTTGTGTAATCTCAACTCTTCCTTCTTTCCCCAAAAGCAGCTGGAAGCTATTCGTGTCCAAGTTCAATCAGGACAGATGAAGGAAACTGAAAGGCCAATGCTATCACTGGCATCAGTCCAGCCCAAAACTGTAAGGCTGAGTCAATCAGTTAGTAGGAATTCTAACATGCCAGGACTTGGTATTATTAATCCCCAGATAATTAGGATACAGCCTGTTACAGGAACTAAGCAGCAGCAGCTATTCCTGCATAGCTCTTCCAAGTCTCCAGTTCAGTTGCTTATGCAGAAACCTTTACCATCAAATGGATCAGTGTCTCTCAAAAAGATTCGCACATCTAAGATGCTAAATGGACAGAAAGCTGCATGTGCCACAGGATCGGCTGCAAGATCTCCAAATGTTAACCTGGTGTCAGGCAGTTCAGCAAACAGTCTGGTACCATGTCTTGAAAAAACCCCAAAAGATGACAAGTTAAAAAAATCCTTCAAAGTGAAAACACGTTCCGGACGGATTTCACGCCCCCCCAAATACAAAGCTAAAGATTATAAATTCATTAAAATGGAAGATTTGGCTTATGGTCATCGATCTGATTCTGATGACTACTCTGAGCTGAGTGTAGAAGATGATGAAGAAGGAAAGGTGAAGGGAAAAGATGCATTATTCACGTCTTCAAATTATGATCTGAACCCCAAAACGTTTCAATGTCAGACTTGTGAAAAATCCTATCTAGGAAAAGGAGGATTAACAAGACATTATAAACTTAACCCAGGCCATAGACAGATGGAGTCTTCACCTCAAAAAATACCTTTAAATAAGCCTAACGGAAGTATATTGGTGGACAATGACTGTGGAATAGGAGAGGAAATGATGAGTCCAGCACATTTGGATTCAGTTGCTGCCACTTTAAATAAGGAAAATGCACTAGCTACCAGTCTGGAAGGAGCTGTTGATTCAAAAGCTGGAGAACAGGTAATGTGTTCCTTAGAAAAGCTGTCAGTTCTGTGGAAAGTAGGATGGCAGTTTTGTAGTTGTATAGTCTTGTACTGCTCAGAAATGCCCACCAACACAACAAATTAAATACATTTCCTATTGAAGTGCTTTAAAAATCAAATTATTATTTCTTGCTGTATTGCAGGAATAGTATTCTTGCACAGGCACAGAAAACAAAATGCTTACTGAGTGTTCATTTGCTACTGGTTTTCTGACGTAAGTTTTCAGCTTGAGAAAACCTTTTCTGCATAAATAGCATTCTTCTCTGCATTTGTGTAAGAATATTGTGTTGTTCAGTTCCAACCTTTAGCATGACAGCAGGACATCATCTGCTCTGGGTTGGAAGCTACTTTAGCTACAGGTGTTTTTCCCTATGATGTTTTAAACTGGTTGTTTCATAGTAAAATTTGTCTTTCAGTATTAAAATGACACATCTTGCAGCAGGAACTAATACAGCTGCTGTTTAGGGAAAAAATATTAATTTGGCAGTGTGACTTTTGCTAATTTTGTTTGCAAATGTGAAGTTCTCAGAATGTGAAAATCTACATCTTAAGATGCCAGTGCAGCAAGCAAACCTCCCCCATCCTCTATGCTCTTCTATCATCTTTGGAAAAAGGGAATGGCAGAATACTGAAGTCTGGCTCTGTATTACTACATCGTTATTGCTTCCCTGTGCAGCACTTTATTTTACTCAGGATGATAGGAATTTTGAAAAATTTCAGTCAGCCTAATACATAATACTACTACTGACTGCTAGATTGCTATTGGACCTGCTACTTTTAACTACCAAATATGGATTCTGCAAATTTGCACTTTTAAGACATTGATTTGTTCTAGTTTTGGGCTAGGTAAGAAAGACTAGCAGGATTATTGAAGCAGGTAGATTGATACAGACACGAAGGCAGTCAAGATTCCCACGCTCAATCTAGTCTTATGTTATATTTAGAACTAATTTAGTAATTTAATCCTTGGATAGAACTGACATAAATTGGCCCTTTTTAGATCTTACCTAACTACTAGATAGTAGGGGAGCTACTGAACATGGGGATGAAAATGTACTGGTTATGAAAAGAAGCTTGATGTACCTCAGTACTATTCTAAATCCCTCTCTTAGAAAAATACTGGGACATTCTTAGAAATTCTGACATGAAAAGGAATACAAGATGTGTTCAGTGAGAAATTTTTGCTTTGATCAGTAAAAAAAAAATTGCTCTGAAATCACAATGGTAACTTAGAAAATGTGCTAAGAGTTTGCCATGTGGTCTTATAACAGGAGCTGCTTCTTAGCAGTGTTCGTAGGAAAGAGTAAGGAATTTAAAACATGGAAACTAAAATACATTTTGATTTTTTACTTCCCAAGCTTGTTACTGTTCATTGCTGTTCAGAGTTTCTGTCTTTTGCGTTAAGTCTTCATGCATTGACATATAGTGAAACACAGATTTTTTGGGGGGATATGTTTTACTGCTAATTAAGATTTATTTCTACAACCTCTTTTTTGAAGAGGACATACTTTACTTTAAAAAATACTAAATGTATTTAACTGGCATAAACCAGCTGTTCAATTGCATTCTCTTAATCTCTGTATCAAAAATCAGAAATACTACCTTTGCAAATAATGGTACGTGTGTGTTGCAAAAGTAACAATCTTACTTACTAGTTTATTTAATTTATCCTACAACTTTCTTTGAAGTTTTGCTTGTATCCACCTTGTTTAATATACTGTTTATTGTTTACATAGATGAAGAACTTAATTATAAAATTGTCTTCCTCAAAACAGTATTTAAAGGGGTGAATAAATACTTTTTCTTCTGAAAAGACCTCGAAGTCTCCAGAAAGCAGACCCTTGTTGGCAGAACAACAAAAAGAAAGCAGTTCAGGACACCAGGAACCTGTAACACCAGAAGGACCTGGAAGACCCAGACGATCAAGGAGACATGGTCGACTACAGAAGGGTGGAAGGTCCAGGTGTTCTGGAAGGCTGAGCAGACGTGGTGAATCCCCTTCAAAATCACTTGGTAGTGTGTCAGCAGAACGCAATGTATACAGAAAAAGAAAAGCTAAGTTAAAAGAGGTATTCTTCTCTTCTGCAATTACTTCACAAATACTTTCCCCTCTCTTTTTTTATTTACTTATTTTCAAGGAATCATTTTTTAAAAGGTTGGTTTTAATTTTTATTTTGGTTGGTTTTACTTATTTATTTTTTACATCCTTGTGTACTGACAAGATGAAAGCCTAAGGAAACATTAAATTGTCTTTTAAGGAAAAAATACACCTAGCAGAACGCTGGGCAAAGGGGATATGGGAACTCAGTCTTGAAAGGGACTTTTGACATATAGATACCTTCTCGCTATCATTTTTCTGGAGAAATGACATTACTGTCTATTACTATGTATCTCCTCAAACACAGTAAAAGAAATAAACCCAACTGAAGTTGGGAAACATCAAAAAAAAGGAATAAAGCCCCAAATACACACAAAGAAGCTCTTGGGGGAGGATGGAATGGGGATTAAAATCCATGCAGTTAACATATTTTTTTTGCTTGTTTCCTGTGTGTTGTGGAAGATCTTTTATGGCTGCTAAACCTACTGATGTTGCTCTTCTTTCTATGAATTGGCAGCATCTGTGGGAATGAGTTTTGTCTATAAGGGCAGAAACTGTTTTGAAGTTTTCTGATTTATCTCTTTTGGTGTTATGTTTGCATCTGTTCTCTAAGCTGCTTAAACACATACTGTATCCTTAAAAGAGTAGTGATATTTGATGTTCTGAATGTGGGATGAATAACCCCTGTAGGCTGCTCTGCTTTAATGAACTCTGGCTTTTGACAGTTAATACAACAATGCGATAATGAAGACTTAATGGAGCTGGCTCTCCCACGTCTCACAAAAGTTGTTACAGTATTTGAATTTCTGTTGATGAAGGTGAGGTGTGTTTTTTTTCTTTTTATGTAAAACTGTTTAAATTATTTTAGGGAGACTTTCTTTAGTATACATTAGAAAGATTTATTTAGAGATGTTCTAAATGAATTTCCTTAGTTAGCATTGTTCCACACATCACTTCAGTCTATACATGTGAAGCTCTTGTCAGTCTCTTAATTGAAGCCTCACTTTTTGCTGACTGGTTCAGTGGCTTTTTCGATACTCCACAATCTTTTCACTTGAATGTTGCTGTTTTAAAACACTGAATGAAACAAACTGGCATACTTTTAATTTCACTGGTTTTAAAATATGGGGGGAGGGGAAACAAACCCTTTTTTCCCCTGTTATTTCTAGGTTGAAAAAGGGTATCCAGGCAAAGCTTACTTCCCAGATGTGTATAAGGAATTTGAAGACTTGCATAATATGGTAAAGAAAATGGCTTATCGTCACCTCAGTAATTCAAATTTGCTGAGTTGCCAGCAGCCTGTTGAAATAAGAGATGCTAAGGTAATAAAGCACTCTGTTTGGAACTGTGATCTTTTTTTTTTTTTTTTATTATTGTAAAAAATCCAACAACTAACTGAAGAGAAAAAGAAATCCATAATAAAACCGCAGTTCTAGTTTATGGCAGTAGCTACAACTAGATAGTAGATTAAAAAAATCTAGCAGCACTGATACCTGTCTTGTGTATTTGGGGTAGCATGAAGCTGCATGTTACTGCAAGGTGGGCTCAGCAATAACTGCTGATAAAAGTACATCTTAATGTTTGACTAGGAAGGAAGGGTCTATATTTAAAATGAGTGGCCTTGATTTAAAGGGATAAATGGTTTCATTGCAAAATGAGGACAAACTGAACGCATATATGCAGTTCACAGATGTAGTAACAAATGTGAAAGGTAGTGAATACATTAATAAAGCTGCGAACTATTATTTCAGTGATTCTTCAATTCATTGCTTATGCACCTGTATCTAGAAAGACAGTGTAGTTTTGGTTTTCTGGTTGTTTTTTGTATTGCTGTTCTTTTTTAATGTGGATCTGTTTTTTCCTTGTGGATTCTTCTCAATCTTGTGTTCCCTTTGCCTAGAATAAAACAGCTCTTTGTACTTAACATATTTTTGGCTTTCCCTTCTCTGTTTCCAGTAGCGAAAACACTATTTTGTGCAATATCTTCAACAAAATTTCTAAATGATGTGCTCATTAAGGTATGTTAGCACTGAACTTGCAACTACCAGGAGAGGGGAGCATACTGGGAAAGTCAGGGTAGGGGTGGTGGAGATAAGAATTTGGTTCTTACAATCCTGGCTTAAAAAAAAAAAAAAAAGTCCTGTGTGGACTGTTAGCAGTGGTTAATATGCATGTTTCAGAATAAATTGTGACATTTACTGTATGTTCCAAAAAACTTTCTAGAATTATTGAGTGCCCATTTGGCTATTCTGTAACACTGACATTTCCGTCTGGTGAAATGAAATTGCACCAAGTACAGGGATGCTGTTGATAGTGTTGTCTGAAAATGGAACGTCTTTCTTGCTTCTCTCCAGTATTAATGTGCACTCTTAATATAGAATTATGCTCATTAAAAGACCCAACCCACCACCCAACAAAAGAAACAAAACCAAAACCAAATTAAACAACCCAGCCTTAAGAGTCTGGGTAGTAGCACACCTACATAAGGATGAAGCACAGGACTAGAATGTGGGGATGGGAAAAAGAAATCCTTAACTACTTAGAGATACTCTTAAACAGGAAGACTGAATGTTTTCCAAGTTATGTAGAGCCTCAACATTGTTCTTTATTAAACCTGCTCTTGGTAACTGTCTCTGGATTCTATATATAACCATTGTACACCTAATTCTTTTGAGTTTGCCTATGAATATTCACCTTCAAATGAAGGTCATGTTCTATTAATGTGGAGGCTGATTGAAAACATGGGAGTCTAAATACTTCACTGAGCTGTGACAACAGATTGTTAGGCTAGGCATGAGTTTTAAGAAAATGAATCCTTATTTCAGCATTTATATATTGAGATTGGAGAAGCTAACTTTTACCTTTTTTTTTTCTGTAAAGGTTGCTGAATCCCTAGGAATTACAGAAATACTTGCTGGAGAAGGAAAGACACAAGGTGCAGACTCTTGTTCACAAACTATAATTAAAACTGTCAGTGCGCAAGTGCCTCTGGAGATACTGGGACAAAAACGGTTAGCTGAGGTATGGAATACCTTTGTGAAAATTAAAAACGAAACTAAGCCAAATTAACACTTGTTAAAACAGATAATACTAGTATGATTTTGTAAGGAATGATTAATCTGACTCGTGTTAAGGCTTTTCATGATGTTTGGAAATACTCCATACTGTGGTATCATAGCAGAGCATATGAACTAGCTATATATAGAGTATACAGCTAGTTCGCATACCATGAACACTTTAGTTAGTGAGACACTAAAGATGTACTTCGGGAAGACACTTTGTAGCATTCAGGACAGAATCTCTTACAGGTAATGTCATGATACAGGGAAGAAGGAATATTTGAGATGCTAGTAAATGGGAGCTGCACAGTGAGAAGGATCCCCAGATTGTAATAATTTGTGCTGGAGTAAACAGGCTAACCTGCAGCAGGCTTAAATGCTTGAGGAAGTGGTCGCTGTGGTAACTGGTGGTAGGCAGAGAGGCATAAAAACAGTTCCTTTCTTTCTAACAAGGCAGCTGACCAGATTCAGTCTGTTTACAGCTGTAGCAGGGAACTCAGTTTCCTCTTGAAAATCACACCTCTTTGGTCCATCCCCTTAACAGTTCTACTTTTTATTTAATCCAGAGTTGTTTCTGGTAGTGGATAAGTAACAGTAGTGCTTTTTTCATTTGCTGCCTGTGGTTAAATTTAAGAGCTAATCATGTTTTCTTCATTACCAAACAATACTGGGCAGACTGTATATGCCCCTTGAAGTTGGAGGTTTCATGCCATAAGCTAACAACCGAGGCTCAGAGACATGCTTTAATGTTGATGCAAGGGCAGATTTTCAACTAAATATCAAAAGTAATTGATGGCATTTTGGCAAAGTGTGATGGCTGTGTTTAAAAGCCTTATCTTTTAGGAAGACCTTTAGTGTAAATCTTGTTTTCCAGGAGGTTATAGGTTCACTGCCATGAAGTGCCCACAGTTAGTTTGTTGTCTTTTCCAGTATTTCAGCTGTTGTGGTGGCAGCCAGTTAATTATCTCTTGTATTGACAGAGCTCAGGGGAGGAACTGTTGCCATCAGCAAAAAGGACCAAGTTAGAAGATGTAATGGAGAATGTGAATAATGATAATGCCAGTCAAGATGAAGTGAAAGAAAAGAGTGAGAATTTATGTACACTGTCTGAAAAAGATGGTAACCTCTTCAGATTTTCCAATTTTGTTCTGTTCATGGAGGCGCTGAACAAATGTCTTTATTCTTTAAGCTACTGTAGTTTTTGTCTTAAGTTTTAATTTATTAACTTGCTTCCCTGGTACTTCAAAAGCAGCTGTTTAACTGGAAAGGCATCATGGCAGGGCGGGAGGAAGTAATGGATGATGCAGAACACAGCAGTAGCTCAATTCTGAATGCATGATAATCTGGTTATAAATATCGCTGCAGCATTATGAGGATAGTACTGTCCTCTACTGTGTGCTTCCTGAATGCTTCCTATTCACCTTATCCCTTCTAGCAGGGAAGGTCCATGACCTTTGTGCCAGGAGCAGGAGAGCAGAAGAGGAAGCAGCATGTGTGTCCTTCCTCTGCCCCAGCAGGCTGCAGGAGCAGAATCATCAGTTTCGTGAAAACTGGGGAGGGGAAGAGCTGATGCAGGCTGTCCTGTATCCCAGGGGGGATGTGAGACCTTAAGATTGGAATTTAGGCAGGATTCTGCACCAGTCTTTGGATGGTTGCCTTTTTATCCCTTTGTTGTCTTCATTCCCCCTGCCCCTCAGATTGGCAACGTAACAGTGGATTAGAAAGGAAAGAGAAGGGTCCCCACCTATAATCTGCTAAAACTGCACTGGTCTTAGACGCAGAAGCATTGCAGTAATTCAGAGGCATTATGATCACTGTTGTGAAAGATTTCAGCCCTTGCCCACCTCTAGTAAGATATGTCTATCAGTACCATCCTTCTGTATTGTAAAGGCCTTTCTCTGGTGTGATGCTTTGCTTTGCTGTCTGCACATCTTTCTGTCAGGGGTTGTGTTTATGTCTTTCTCTGTTTATTTTTCTTTCTCTGAAAGCCTCTCTGCACGACCATGCTTATTTCTTGTTGTATTAATGATTTACTGCTGGGCTAGGAGTTTTTTTAAATTTGGTTTCACTTGCACCTTCTAGTAGGGTTTTTGCAAGTCTGCAAGTACGAGTTAAAAAAGATCCCTTCTGCAGTGTGAGGCCTCCTTTGTTGTGCAGTGGTATCTTTCATAACAACAAAAAAAGCCCCCAAACAACCTGCTGGTTCCTTTTGATTGTTGATTATAAAATCTGACAGCTCCTGCTACTGCAGCTAACTATTGTTCAACTGTTTGTCACCTGAGTCTTGGTCCAGGTCAAATAACTGGTAAAACACATTAATTTTGTAGTGCTTTAAACTTTCTGTAGTGCTTTAAACTGTCACAGGATGAAAGTGCTCCTGGAGCTGCTAGCATACCTAATTAGATACGTAGTTACTGGATGATACAGTCTGAGTCCAGGATGAGCTTGATTATCAACACAGATTTTATTAAGCTCAAATGTTTCTGTCAGTTTATTACTGGTAATATTCTTTATCTTTTAATGTCATAAATGTCTTAAGCTGTGTGCCAGATTTTGACTTTCAGCCCAGGTTGGTTTCAGGATTAATTGAAAAATGCTGCTTCTGATGTAAGGTCCCTTGCTATGAAAATATCCAGTAATATTTCACTATCCAGAAACTTTTCTAGAAGCTTTCTCATTGGGAATTGCTGTGAAAGTCTTGTAAGGTGCTTCTGGTTTGCTAACTGGGGGGAGGAAAGCAGGGAGGCAGTCTATCTTTTCCTCCAAAATTACTGCTGAAAAATATTTTTTTGGACATGCAATATTAGATTGCTCAATAAAATTATATTTACTTTACCTTTTCAGGTTTTAATCAATTAAATGGAGAAATCCAGCTTTCAGAAGATGGGCATATCACTTGCTGCACAACTGGAAGCACATTACTGACAGCAGAGCAACATAATTCACTTGGTGATTCAGGAATTAGAATCGATGCTGGAAATTCAGCTACCTTCTCCCAGTCTGTGGAAATGAGGGCAGAGTATTCCGAATGTGTGGCGATACAGGGACCAGATTTGGCCAATGACGAGTCTTTGCTACATGAAGTTGTATTACCAGCTGAAGCAGATGGCTCGCCTGGATTAGTCCAAGCACACTTTATGAATGAGGATACAGCCAGTGGGCTCTCAGGTCCTCAGCTTTGTAGCACTTTGTCTGAGGATGCAATGGGCAGTGAGAGCCCTAACTTAGCAATGAGTGAAGAAAATGGACATCATCAGAAATACCAGAAACTGCAAGAAGAAAACTGTAATTTCGCAATTAAAGAACATTCTGAACGATTCCATAGTGAAAATATGACTGATGAGATGCAGGAACTTGAAAAAGCGTTGTCAACAAACATTGTGCCAGTAAACCACACACACAGTGCTCAGACTGAGTTGAACCAGAGCCCTGCCCAGGAAGCCTTTGTGTCTGCTCATGTGAACCATGAAAACTCACTTAAAAATGTGAATGACCGTTCTTGTGGGACAGAGGAACAACATGAGCTAGAGAATAGAGTCACTGTGGATGAAACTGTAGCCTTCGAGATTACTGATGAGAGCCCTGATTTTTTGTCTCGGGGACATGAACAGATTTTTATTCAGACTTCAGATGGGCTTATCATGTCTCACCCAGATACTGCTGTTCTGTCTCAGGCAGAAGACGTTGTTATTGTAACTGATTCCAATGGTATTACAATGCACATCCCCACGCCTGAGGGGATGCCTTTGGAAACTGTGGAAACCCTATTGGAAATGGAAGCAGATGACCGAAGTGAAGGTATTTCACTCTTGCAAAGCAAACTGGAGCCATAAATTGGAGAACTGTATGCTTTCTTCTGGAAAATTCTGACTCTATCAAATGTATATTTTTCTAATGTGAATACTGAAATAATTGAAATTTAACTTATTTGTAAACTCTTTCTATGCCCTGTACTTTTTATAACTTACGTTTATATGAATCTAGCAGCACTGCAACCAAAACTTTTAGAATTAACAGCATTCTATTCGTTTTCTATGTTGGGGGTGGGTGGAAAGTGGGTATCTGTCAACCCTAAAACTGTTGCACTGTTTCCTTTTGTTATATAATTCCTTTTCGCCCTAGTAATCTAAAAATGCAAGAAGTTGTACTGCCGTCCAGCTGTGATGTGTGGTGTACTGGCAAACTATGTATGGGTAAAATAAAAACAGTATTAAAACCATGGCATTTTCTGTGCCATTGAATTTTCAGAACACTGTTCTTGCACTTTCTCGATGCTAACAAATATTCAAGCTAGCTTTTACACTTGAAGAGCACAACTGTGCCTGAAAAATACGCAGTTTTAAATATAAACTGCGAAAAGTGTGATAGCCTAGTTGATCCTTACTTAAATAAGCATGCACTGAGTTAGAGATAAAAATAACCTCCAACAAAAACTGTTGGAAATGTATGTAAGTATGTTTATGTAATGTTCAGCCACACCTTTAAAAACTGCTTAGACAGAAACAGGAAGGTGCTAAGTAGTGATCTGATCTGTCTTACTGAGATACCAAATTCTTCTTTTCTCTTTAGTCCATGATGGTCTATTTTTGTTAGATTTATAGCACACTTTTTTTTCTTTCAGATGATGCATCTTTTATCACTTCTAAGCTTGGACCTTCCTAAGAACTCCACACTGCCTTGTAATACTTAGTCATAATAAGAAGGTAACCTTGACCATCATCCCTGTTTCTCTGTGCAGACAGAAAACTTACCAAAGTAGTTATGTAATTTTACCTATCTTGTATTACTGTCACACTTTCAGTATGTTGCTTGGATGATAATACCTACCAGCTTCTGGTCCAAGGCACTGTCTACTTTCAAGAAGCTTAGCAGGGGAAAACAAACAGCCTTAAATGACCAGTGTCTTTTAACATAGTTTGGTTTAGGGTTTGTTGTTTTGTTTTTCTTGATTGCCTAAGTAGAAGATGAATTTGATTAGCCAAAACATTGCATTTTGATGTGTGGATGTGACACGTCATCACATATTGCTGAGCTCCTGCCTGGCAGTTTTATGGTGTAGGTTTTGTTTTTTTTCCCCCTCTTTTTTTTTAGGAGATGACAATGGTCAGAGGACATGAGCCTATCCTGTAAGTGAAGATAACGCAAGGTCTTTCAAAGTCTGATCATAGTGAGCAGCTCTTCATTACATTCTTTTGTACTGACTGATAACTACATCTGAGGACTTAAAATATTATAAGCAACTGCTTAAAACTATAATGACAAAATATCTTTGCAATAATTTTGTAGTAATCTGTGTCCAACAGCAGTCAATGAGCAAAGGACTCTGTGAACGAGAAGATGACTTCATGAAGAGAGAACAACACAATTCCTACCTGTGCAGAAAATGAAAATCTGCTTCAATTCTGCCTTTCCTATTGCTTTGCACATGCTGAGAAATACAATACACCTACTCATATCTTAAAAGAAGATTCCTGTAAGTCAACCAACCTTTTCTCCCTGGAAAATACTTTTCCAGTATGAAGGTGTTTCCATAGTGACAAGGGTTTGGTCCTACTCGGATAAATTCAGGTGGCTGCTAAACTAGGTGGAACGCTTGCAGAGAAAAATAATAAACCCCAACAAAGCTATTCATAACTGTTTATTTTTAGACAACAGGTATTTGGGATAAGAATACAACACTATCAAGCTGTCAGAAACAATCTCGTCGTTGAACAGAGCAACATCCTGAGAAAAGTTTCCAAATTCATGTCTGTCTGTTCTGTTACTGCAGGAAACTCATGCATTTCCCTTACTGAGCTTACGGCGTTTTAACTTGGAACTATTCAAGTAAGTGGCCCTACTTGTCCTATCAGAAATCTGGTCCAGAATCTCCCACTGTTTTAATTAGATTTTTCTAGTGTCAAACCACAGCTGTCGCAGACACTTCACAGCAGCGTGCATTTTGTGTCACTTAGGTCAAAGGAGAACTGATGGTAGACATCTGTCAGGGCACATCAGTGAGTCAACAACACTTAGAAACACTATGTAATTGTGTGAAATAGCAGATGGAAATCAACAGTTTATATATGAGTAGGTCACACAGGCAATCAAAGTGGGAGGAATAAATTATTATTAATCATAATGAAGTAAGCAGAAGGCCTAAATCCATTACACCGTAAGAACTTAACTAAAAGTTTGTGATACAGCTGCATAGCTTCCACATTGTAATGCACTTTTCTGAAAAGTGATAATCTGCAATAGCAGCTAACAGTTATTAAAGGCTGGGCAAGTGTAGCAGCTTCTCCAGGCTACCCAAGTCTGACATAATGGTACACCACAGTGATTATTATGTCTTTAGGAGTGAAAGCAACTATGAGGAATGAATTCCACTTCAGCATTTAGCTTTTGCATGAACTGTTTCTTCTGAATACACTCTCTACTCCCTTTTCCAAGAAAGCAGCATGAAAAAGAAAAGCAGGAGTTTGAGCTGCTGATTCTTGTCACATAAACTGCTAACCAAAAAGCCAGCACGGCACACCTTTAAACCAAAACCACTTGACATCAGAAACAATAATCCAAGGAAAAACTCGGCCTCATGACAGTAAGCAAACAACAGGAGGCCATGCCTGAAGCAGATTTTGATTTTATTCAATGAATGCTTTCATATAACATTTCTACAATGAATTAAAAGAGACAAGATCTTTTCATAAAATGACTGTCGAATAGTGAGTTGTACTAAACCTTCCCACTGTGCTCCTTCAGGCTTGGATCACTCTTCAGGATTGGTGTAACCAACCACTCTATAATCAAACAGAACTTACACTAGCATCTGTGGCAGCATTTCTAAACCACATACCATTTACACCCACCATGTGGATCCCTTTTGGATCTGCCTTCTGTGCTTTTCCCATTTATAAGGCAAGTACAAAAGCACACACCCTGTTCAGTCATGCAAATAAAACCCACAAAAGATGAAGTGCTGAATTTCTATGGTGAAAGAGACAATGTAAATATTTTAGACTAGCAAGACTTGGAAAATAGTTAACGTTTTTTTCTGTAGGTGTCTGTGCATTGAGTTCCCCAAAGACCAGCATGTAGTGACTACCTCTTTCTGATTACAGAGGGCTTGGCCTCCTACCTGTAGCTTCACTATTCTCTTAAAATGGATAAAGTGACCAAACCCAGATTGTCCCATGCAGAGAAAGGAGTATCAACTGAGACAAAATAATAATTACAAATAGAAATATTTTTAATAAATTTTACAAAAACTCAGTTTACTTGGTAAGCTTTGCAGTCTGCCACTTCAGCTTCATGTATGCATCATTACAAGAAGCCATGTAGCATTTGGAATTCTAGCACTGTCTGTGTCCTGTTTCTAGCAGCATGGCTTCAAGTAGTAGTTGGCTGCTATTTTCAATGTAAGGCTGGTATAACCATGATGATAAATAGACCATCATCAGATCCTGGTCAGCAGAATGAGCAAGTTCTTGTACAATTGTTTGCTTGAGTTGTAGCTCCTTCCTGTACATTTCAGAGAGCTTCAGAGAAACCTCATCTGAATGGATTGAAAAAAACCCCACATTGACCAGAACATTTCAGAAATTGTCTATAAGTTATATAATACTTTTAATATAATGATAGTTAAAAACCCCTACCTTGCATAGACTATTCCCCATATCTAGATATCTTGGTTTTTACAGCATCAATAATGTTTGTATACTAGAATACACAATGCTAAACAATTCACTCTGCTTTTGGATATATTTTATACACTTGTGATTTTGACATGAATCCCCTCTTAATTCCAGAGTAAGCAGTGGTATTGATCCTCAGGATCCACTGCAACATTATCAACTACAGCTATTCTTTCAAATAACTGAAATTTGATTTACAAAATTTGAGAATGCTATCCTGAAATACAACTTCAGCATTTCAGAGTCACTTTTGATTTTAGCTAATCTAAAGGATGCCCCTCACATGCTGTCAGGAACTTTAGCAATGTATGATCACCAATAAGTGATACCAATAGTGAAAAATAACAGTAAACCAAAACAACAGACCAAAACTGACCTGTGTAACATAAAAACTAATGTCGTTACTAGTTACGTTAATAATACTGGTAGGGTGGTTAAAATATATCTATGTAATCTTTGTTTGACTTTCTAAAAAAATATGCACATAAATTATTTTTCAAGAGAAACTGATCTTAATGTTTCTAACTTAGGCTGAACTGTTACTATTTTTAGGAGGATTTAGTCTTTCATGGAGTAAAGAGCATCACTAAATGATTCAGACACTTAAGTGTTTTGACAACACTTGTTATACTTACCCTTTTAAACTGTCGGAAACTAAAACTTGTGGTAATGAAGTAAGAAGCAGTGCTTCACAGAAGTATGACTTTCATTTCACAAAGAAGGCAGTTAGTTTGCATGCAATCAGGCTTCTCTGGAATTCAGTTTTAAAACTGCAGTAATACCAATTGGGAGGTGATACCTTCTGCCATCAAGTGAATGCTAAAAGCATTGGTATTAACCGTAGACAGTAAATGAACATTTATTTACTTGCCTTGACTGACACTGAGATCAGAGGTATTATTCTTTGGCTGCCTAAGAATTAGCTGACATATAACTTGTTCTTTGCACTCAAGGATTTAATTTCAATGTCAAGTAACAAGTCAAACAAGTTAAGCCTAATACTTAAAACTACCTACTTGCAAACAAAAGTTGTGGCTGTTGCAGTCTGGACACTGTAAGATGCTGATGAGCTTAGATTTTATGCTATTAATTGCTACATGTCAGACAATGCTTGGCAATTCATACAAGCAGTCACCAGCAGTAACCCTAAGCCAGTGGTGCATTCATGTGTTTATTGATTCATCAATTCTAAAGGAGACAGATAACTTTCTCTCTAAGGCAAGACATCCAGATAAAAGAGTTTATTTTTCAGTCCTCAATTACAAGACATCAATGACACAATGCAATTAACTAAGATAATCAGTATTTTACTTACAGAAGTATGGTGTGGGCCATGTATGAAAGAAGGGTGCTGTGCAATTCCCAGCTCTATGGTGGAATGCTTCCAAGTCACAGATTGCTTTTGCAGTTGAAGTAAGCTTTTCCATTTTCAGTTGTATTTTTGTCTGAAAATGATTAACATGTAATATTAATGAGTATCTCAGGAACATCAAACTACTATAATCTTAAACCAACCCAGCTGATTCCTTGATTCTATTAAAAAAAAAAACCAACCACGATTTCTGAGGAGTATGTAGTCTTAACAATTCTAACTCACTGTTGTTTTTTTTTAACTTCAGACAGGAATCAAAGCTGGAATTTATAAAAAAGATTAATATGAGATACCCCAAAATTTCAAACACTGTAGATATGACTTAGTGATTCTGATTTTGCAACATTCTTTTGTTTCCCCCATGTGGAAATGCATTAAAATCCTCTCATTTTTCACTTCTCTCTGTTTTTTTCCTATAGCAATTTAGCATTGGGGTAAAACATCAGACTGCCTATGAACAAGCACGGCACAAACCCTATTAATACATGCTTTCTTACTTTCCCATGTCAAGATGACTTAAATTTGATTTCAGAAAGTCAGCAGCAGGTGAGTTAAGCAGCTTAAGCTCCTACTGACAATATATCTAAGCTGATTTAACAGCTTGCTTCATAAAACAGGTCATTCCATCCACTTCATATGTTCATATGACTTTGTGCATTACTGATGGAGACTAATTTTTACAACAAAATGGAACTTGCAGGCAACATCTTTAAGTCAAAAAGCTGAAATACAGATACTTCTATAAACTTGTAAGTTGCTACAAACTCATAAGGAATGAAAAATAAAATATGTCTGTAGTAGCTATGTTTAGTATCCAACCTAACACTGCCTGCTTACAGTCCTTTTATTCAGGAGTAATAAAAAGCTGCATAAACACACTTGGTAAGATACAAAACTACCTCAAAAAAAGAAAAACAGACAAAGCCCCATCACCCAGACTACTGTTACTTTTTTCCTACAGAACAAAACTGGAGGAAAATCTAGCTGCTTTCCTGCTTATTCTAAATACCAAATTGATATCCTGTCTATATAAAAAAATAGACCTATCATGTTTTTAATGGGCCTCCACTTCAGCAGAAGGCTGTAAAAGTTATTTTTAATTAGAATTTTAAATTACAGTATCAGGTTAGAAAAAATCTTTTTGTTTCCTGTCAAACTGGCAGGTGACATTAATTTCTAGCAGTATCCAGAAAAAAAGGTTACATAATAATTATCTTTGTTTACTCTCCGGATAAGGAATTCTGCACAGAAAGCACAGGTAGGCAGACTAAAAATATAACTGCATTATGTCTGATTAAAGATAGCTGCAGGGCAGCTTTACCTGCTGGCAGGTAAAGCACTGCTTTATGCTTTGTTGTTTGTTTAGTTCTAAACAGAGGGAAAATTCAGGATGAGAAAACAAAAAAACGGGTGCAGTTTCAGAATGAATTTTTTTTTACACAACTTCTTCTCAGAGGATCACTTCATAAAGGGAGGAGGATAATTATAAGCAGAAGGCAGACGTTTAAAAAAAAAAACTTTCAAATTTACCAAGCAAGCAAATAAATGGTGCACACTAGACTGATAATCATTTAGGTCTGAAGCCAAAGAACTATAAATAAATATCTTGATTTTCTATTTACCACAAATACTTGAGGACATTTCCTTATGTCACACTTGAGCACACTTGGAACTGATTCATATTGACTAAGACTGAAAAATCAGCACTACCATATGCTTTAAGGTCTCAAGTAATTCTTCACAGCAACTGTCCAGTTCTTCATTATATTTTGGAGCTGGCTTTTCAGATCGAGTGGCATTGTTATCACATGCTATCTCCATTTTGTTGTCTTGAAATCTGAAGTAGAAACATAATGCAGAGTAAACAACTGCAACATGCGTTTACCCAAGCTGTGAGATTGAAAATCCATGTGGTTTGGTCCTACAGAATCTCTCTTACAGGCTACATATTTTTGGGTGGTGTTTTTATTTTTTTTTTAATCATCACTGTTAACTTTTCTGTCCATATAAACCACCAATTCTTTCTTAAAATCTGCTGAATTTTTTACTTCAATGAAATTTATTAATACTGGCCTCAGTGTAAATATGCAAAAGGGAACTCACATGGGCTGATATCTGTAGGGTTAGATTCTCATTCTGTACATTATAAAAATATTTTAAATGTCTGTTATGCTTAACTAGTTAATTAGAAACATAGTTAATTTCTTGCAAATATCATTACTTTATGAGGTTATTTTAATCCTCTTGAGACTTTTATTATTTGGATGTAAATGGTTTATGTAACTAAAAGGTCCCACTGCTGAGTTTGATCTAAGAGCTAGCTTATCCACTCTGACATATACTTTTTCCCACCTCCAAAAAGAACTTTCTAGTGATTAAAACTTTCTAGTGATTCATTTCTCAATAAAAGCAATTCTTATGCTCTTTACTTGTATGTATTATCATACTTACTGCTCACTAATCTTCATGTTGACTATTTTGTTTGCTGTAGTAAACCCATTATCATTCAGTCTCTCCCATTTCATCATTAAATTATGCCAGTCTGCTGCATTATCTTTAATTTTTCTTGCACTAACAGGTAAAACAGGTCTTCTTGGAGTACCATCACCAGGACTTTTTGCTGCATGAGAAAATAAAGAAATTCAAGCCATTCAGAACATACAGAAACAAATCAGCATGCTATCTGGCAACTGCTTCAGTGATTTCCTTACTTTATGGCTGAATATTGATTAAAGCAAAAGGGAATTCACATGAGCTGCCTTCAGTCGTGAAATCTAATTCCTCAGCTATAAGCTTAATTACAAGAAAATGTTATTGAAAAAATGCAAGCATGTTCTGCGATGCAATGTTGTAACATGGACAGCAGTGGCTTTGCAGTAACCAGCCAGTCTAACAGTTTTCTGTCTACGTATGACAGCCAGATGATAACCACAGTATATGGTAGCAACGGGAACTGCTAGCACCCCATTTACGCAGGAGCACCACCTTGGGGGAGGGTTACGAGCAGCCCCTTCTGCCTGGCGCCACCGCCACGCCTCAATTCCTGCCCGGGAAGCAGGAAGGGGCCGCAAGCCCAGCTCGAAGCTCAGCAGTAGCAGTAACGCCAGCGGTCCACCCGCACACTTGCTAGTTTTAGCTTTTATTCACAGAGACGCTTACAAAGTGGCATAAAGATGAAGCCCACGCACCACGACAAGGCACGGGTGTCGCTCTCTTCTCCCTAGGGAAAGACAGAGGTGCTAGGCACCTTCCTGGCCCGCATTCACGTTAAAGTAACGCGCCGGCGGGCGGGGAGGGAAAGCAGACACCACCCCAGGGAGCACAAGTCCTGAACTCCGGCCACCCCCCGCTGCCGCAGGCCCAGCCCTGCACCCCTACGCTCCCACCGTAAGGTCAGCTAGTCCCGGTGACTGACCGGTAGCGGGAAGACAAACACTCCCCCAACTACCCACGCTCACCCGCCATAGTGGCGCTCTGCAGCCCGCGGAAATGCGCTCACGTCCGGCCCCGCCCAGGCCCGGCCCCGCCGAGCGGCGCAGGCAGCCGGGGTCGCCGCCGGTGCCGTAAGGTTTGGGTGACGCGGTTTACGCTCCATCTTTCTGCCTGCTCTTCGGCAGTAGCTATAGTCGCTCCGCGCTCCTGAGGAGGTGAGCGGAGCCGCGTCTTTCGCGGGGATGGGGGAAAGCCGCCTGAGGGTCTGCCCTGGCTCTCGCTCCCCTCGCTGGTTACTGTAAGCGGGGCCTGTCGTGGCAGCCTGTTGCAGCTGGGCTGAGCGGGTGAGCCCTGCGCGGGGAAGGGGACCGGGCCAGCTCTCCCGCCCCCTTCTCGGAGGCTCGTCTTCAGGTAGAGCTGGCGCGAGGGTGCGCGGTGGTGTCTGGGGAGGGCGGCGGGGCCGAGTTACGCACCCGCGGAGCGGCTGGAGGAGCTTTACCACTCTCTGTCGACCCCCAGGGCCGGCTGGAGCTCTGGGTCAGGATGGTAAATCCGTCATAAGCTGAGGTAAATCCAGCTGGAGAGCGAAGCGGCATTGCTGGCAGTCCGTCCTGGAGTCCGCGGCTGTATTCTTACCTGCCAGGAGCTGCAACCCCTAGAGTGCTGGAAAGCAGCGTATTAGGAAGGAATGGTTGGAAACGCCTGCCACAATATTGTAATGCATTTAAGGAAAGAAAATTTCATAGGGAAACTAGGTGTCCGAAGACTCAGTTGGGTAAAGCTTGGTTTCCACTGCCCCCATTTGGCATACCTACATGTACTGTGACCCCAGGTGTCTCTTTTTCTGAAATTTCCATCTCTTATCCAGGTTTGGGTTTTTGTTTGGGCTTTTTGTTCTCCCCCAATAAATCCTTGTGAACTAGAAATGGACCACTTACAAACTTTGTAAAGCAATGTTGGATGGAGCTGTTGGAGTAAGTTCAGAGGAGGCCATGAGAATGATCAGGGGACTGGAGCACCTCCCATATGAAGATAGGCTGAGAAAGTTGGGGCTGTTCAGCCTGGAGAAGAGAAGGGTGTGTGGAGACCTCATAGCAGCCTTCCAGTATCTGAAGGGGTCCTATAAGGATGCTGGAGAGGGACTCATCATGTGGGACTGTAGGACGAGGGGCAGTGGGTTTAAACTTAAACATGGGAAGTTCAGGTTAGAGATAAGGAAGAAGTTCTTTATTGTGAGGGTAGTGAGGCACTGGCACAGATTGCCCAAAGAGGTGGTAAATGCTCCATCCCTGGCAGTGTTCAAGGCCAGGTTGGATGGGGCTTTGAGCAACTTAGTCTAGTGGAAGGTGTTCCTGCCCATGACAGGGGTTGCAGCTGAATGGTCGTAAGGTCCTTTCCAACCCAAACCATTCTATGATTCTATGTGCATGTTGCACAGTAGATAATTGCCACCTGTGCGCTGGCTGCTCCTCTCCCCGCAACCGTGAAGCATGAGAGCAGAGCCCCTTCAGCAGGTTTGAATTTGTGTTCTCCCTGCTGCTTGGGAGCTCTCTGGAGATGTGGCAGGTGGATGGCCTGCTCTTAAGGTAAAAATGTGAGAAGTACTAGAAAATAAAACCACTTTTCTTCTTAGTTGGCAAGGTCGAGCTGAGATCAGAGACTGGTCATATATATATATGATTTTGTCTATACTGCGAAGAGCTTAAATGTAAGTTTTTATGCCAGATAATAGAAAAAACCAAACAGAGCTTGTTGTCCCTTCTGTACAGACAGGACATTTGAGCTCAGAGAAATGCAGTGACAGCTTTAGCTTCCTGCAGTCGATCTGGCATACCCTGGCACTGAACCTTTAACCATTGCCTATCTGTTTAACCACAGAATTATCTCTCACTTTCATTGCCTCTGTTAGGCAGCCCTGAGCCTCATTCCTGTTTCTGACGCTAGAGAAAATTAAAATAAAAGTTTCTTTTTCAAAACATGGCCTTGAATGCAATAGTTAAAAACTTGTTGTGAACTCTGGGAGTTGAGAGAAGGACTTTCTGCTTGGTGATTGTTTTTGATGTGCAACATAAGGTATTTTTCTCTGCTTTATCTCTGCTGTAGGATAGCTGCTTAGCACAAGCTGATTTGCCCTGTATGGCTGTTATGTACTTCAAAGTAACTGTGGCTGACACTGGGTGAACATGTGCATCCAATTCTGGAATCTGTCTGAAAAAATAGATTATATTGACTGTTTGCCTTTGATTAATGAAGCAGGAAAACCAGATGACAAATAATCTGTTAATAAAGAGACTGCATGTGATACACAACAGTCATTAGGGGGATGTTGAAGACTTTCGGCTCAAAAGCAGAGAATTGTGATGTTTGTGCAAGGTTTTTTAATATATAGACCACATGCAGTTCTCTGTTCCTTTATAATTTTTTTTTTTTGGCTTAGATAAAATTGCTTAATTAGCAGTATTTTTAGTAAAATCCTTGTTTGGGCTTTCAGTTAGATGTTTTCACACAAGCAGTGCAAGTGTATTGTAAGTCTAAATTGCTCAAGATGAAACTGATTACTGTATGATGGTAAGAAATTACAGTTTATTAATACTTTTTTTGATTGTACGGAGTGAATGGGTTATAGAGAACAAAACTTACTTTCTTTTTTTTACAACTTTCAACTTTGCCATCAGAGAATATTGAAATTATCTATTGTATATAGATTTTGAGAAGAGTGGGAGCCATAACCTGGCAGCAGGTTTCATTGGGTTGTTTGTTTGTTTTTTAACTTAACTTAGTATATGACAAGAAATAATTCCTCCCATTTTTTCCAAGGAGGAGGAACCCTAACAGAATGCACCCCTCTTTTTTTTTTTTTTCTTTCTTTCTTCTGCTTTTAAATAAAGTGTAAACTTACAAAACATACATCAGGTTGCAGGTACAATTGTTTGTTGTAGAGGAGAAAGTAATAATCTTTTTCTGGATAATACAGATTTCCATAATTCGATAGTTTGTAATGGATTCCTGTTTTTAACAGTATAGTTGAGCTGGAAGGGTAGGTGATGAAAACTTAAGAGAGAGAATGAATTTTGAGGACTTGCAGGATCCTTTGGCAACTGTGGAGTATGAGATGGTTCCAGCTAAAAGAACTGCTTCGAATGATGACAGATGTGAATTGTAGAAGTGACAAAGGGGACTTAAAAACGAAAATATGTGAAATTCATGAGGCAGTAGCTGGGGAGTGGCAGAAGTTGAGATGAGACAGAGGAAGATTTGTACAGTGAGACTCAGGACAAAGGCTGGGGTTCATTTTATTAGAAAAAAAAACAAAGCAAAAAAGCAGCTAGTAAAAATTACTAAACTGGCAAAGCAGCATGTGTGGAACAGCAAACAACAAACTAGCAGTGGGTTCTCTTTTAATTTAGTTGACTGTAGACAGAAAACAGTAAATGCTGAAGGGAAGGGCAAAAGACCCAAAATACAGGATAGGAAATAGATGGTGTGTGAGAATATTGTAAATAGCGATGCACTGAGCTTTTCTGTTAACTTAATGTGCTGGTTTTGGCTGGGGTTGTGTTAATTTTCTTCCCAGTAGTGCTGGAAACAATGTTGGCAACACAGAGATCTTTTCGTTGTTGCTGAGCATTGCTTATACAGAGTCAAGGCCTTTTCTGCTCCTCACCCCATCAGCAAGTGGCTGGGTGTGCATAAGGAGTTGGAAGGGGACGCAGCCAGGACAGCTGACCCCAGTTAATGAAAGGCATATTCCATGCCATATGTTGTCATGCTCAGCATATAAAGTCAGGGGGAAAAGGAAGGAAGGAAGGAGGGATGTTCAGAGTTACGACATTTGTCTTCCCAAGTAACTGTTAGACTCAATGGAGCCCTGCTTTCCTGGGGATGATGAATACCTGCCAGTTGATGGGAAGTGATGAATGAATTCCTTGGTTTGCTTTGCTTATGTGCACAGCTTTTGCTTTACCTATTAAACTGTATTTCTGTTTCAGCCCACGAGTTTCCCTGCTTTTTCTTTACCAGTTCTCTTCACCATCCCACTGGGGCGAAGGGGGTGTGAGAAAGAGGTGCTTAGTTACTGGCTGGGATTAAACCACGACACTTAGTAAAAACTCTGAAAGGAACTCTTCATTCAAAAATATCTGGGACACATTAATCAGCTAATCCTTGTAATATTTTATGATATACATGTCATGACAGGTAGTGAACACTGGAGGAGAGTGGAGTTAATTTCTAAGATCTAGCAAGCAGTAAAATTTATCACAATTAAGAACATGTAATAAGAGCTGCTATCTCATTTACTGGCACTTTTTGTAACACAAAATACAGCTCCAGTAACCAATTCCTGCAGTCTTGTCTAACATGGGCTTGAATGGGTAATGTCATGCAAGTAATCCCTTTGGATTTTGGAATTGTGTGTTGACAGCAAGTATTGCAGGGCCCAGAGTCAGCATGCTGAATCCTGTTGCACAATAACTGGAATAGTTTGAAAATTGAGACATCAGAGCTTCTCACAGTAGCGGAGATACAAAACTAGAGCAGCTATATATTTTTTTTTTCTAATTTAGTTGCTTTATACTGTAAGCAATATGTAAAGCTGCCAAACAAATACCATATTCCATCCTTAGAGAAATAAAAACGAGGCACAGAAATTGCAGTAGAAATACTTTACAGAATAGTTTTGAGCATTTAGAAGTGTTTCTGATGTCAATGGGGTTATTTCTGGTTTTCATTTCTCTAAGGAAGTTATAACTGCTGAAACTTCAGGAAATCATCAATGTTAAGGGCTTAAGCAATCATAGAGAACTTTTGTGTTTGCAGAAATCCAGAATTCTTGTCTTGGAAAACTGCAGGTATTTTTAGCATATCCTAAACCATTCTGTTAATTGGACTTGCTCCTGGCAAAATTCAAGAAGGAAAGGTTTCTTTGATTTGCTATGTTGCAAAGTCATCCATGAGGAGAGTAGCTACTGCTGAAAAATGTTCTTGTCAAGGCTTTGAACCTATGATGTGAAAAATTACTGTGTTTAATTAAATGTTTTTAATGTTTTTCATATATCATGGTCATATCAGCTTTTTTCTGAAGATCCCAGTACATTATTACTATGATGAGCTCTC